TAAATACTCACAAGCTCACTTTAAGAAGCAGATGTGGAAGCGGCGTCTAGCTTTGTTCCTAAATTTCGGAAGAAAGACGACCTGGAATGCGGAGTTAAACTCGGGCTCCAAGGGAGCTCTTACCCTCCGACCTCCCTGAAGATATGGGGGTCCAGGGGAGGTCTACCTTTACCCAAGAAGCTCTCCTCTTCCTCTTCTCCCAAGGAAAGAGGTTTTAAGCCACGGAACAGCTGATTTTCGCTGTCTCCGCAGACTTTTATGCGATCCCAGGGTAGGCGGCTAGAAGAAAGCCGCCATCAGCTTTCAAATTTTGTACACACCTTCTCATACACTTTCTCAAAATGTCACCTAATTTAATGTATCCTAATTTCTGTCCTGTATTTTTTCTTCACCTTGATTTGGTACTTAAAAACTAACAAAACACAAATTTCTATTTAAGAAGAAATTTATGGTTCAAGAAGTCCAAATTTAAAAATTATAGAACACTTTAAAATACATATAAGAAACTACATATAAAATAACTATAAGAAACTCTACGTCATCTATATTAAAATTAATTTGGCTTTAAAATGAAGAACAAACTTCAGATTCCATTGACATAAGTCAATCAATTATGGTCTAAGTACTCATTCTTAAAAAAAAAGAAAATATTGACATTAATGGCCTCAGTTTTTAGGGAAGTATATGCAATTGGTTTATGTCAGTTAATCTGCTCATGAAGTGCTTTTAAAAATGATTCCTATTATATGTCTGTGAACAATGAAAAGTTCCTGGGCTCCAACAGTTGAACAAGTTTCCTTTATTTTATTTTTCTAAAAAAAAACATTTTACTGGAGCATCTATTAATACACAGATCTAATTCAACAGTATGTAACCAAGTCTATTGCCCCCATATCATTTAACAAATAATATTCAAATTAGAAAATACAGATTCAATGTCGTATGATTTTCAGTATTTGCCAATGTAAATCCTAATACAAATGATTAGAAGAATTTCAGCTGGGGCCTCCTTGTTCAAGAACTCTTGATTATTTGCTGTTATATTAGTGTCAACTTTTAATGATCACATAGTTAGACCTTCTATAGGATTACAGGTAGTCCTCAACTCATTGGTGGCTGTTCAAAGTCACCAGCATTGAAAATATTGACTTATGATCATTTTTCACACTTAACAACTGTTGCATTGTCATGTGACCAAAATTTGGAAGCTTGGATTTATTTATAACGGTTCTAGCATCCAGAGGTTATGTGATCACAAGCATAGTCAATGGAGAAGCCAGATACACTTAACAACCATGTTACTAATTTAACAGCTGTGGTGATTCACTTGACAACTGTGGAAAGAAAGATTGTAAATTGGGGCAAAATTCACTTAACATCTCTCTTGCTTAGCAAAGAAAATTTTGGGCTTAATCGCATGTCAAGGATTATCTATATTTTCAACTTGGTCTTTTAGATCTTTTCACTCTACTGCTGCTATAGCTGAGTCTACTACTTGCGACTGGCTATCCTGTTCTTTTCTTCCACTTTTCCCAACATTAGTGACTTGTCGAAGAATCTCAAAACACTTTTCATAAATGAGTTAAAATACTTTAATTCCCAAAAATACATGTAAAACTGTTCATATTGATAAAAAACAAATCTTAAGGGAAATTGATTATTTTATCTTACTAAAAATTATGCATCAATGATATTTAATATATTTTAAAAATATATTAAAATATGCATTTTGTTTGGACTAAAAAAGTGTCAATCAGGTTTCAGGCCAGGACGCCAGTATAGAAACAGCTTTGGTTCCACTTGGTGATGACCTTAGCTCAAGGGTCTGCAACCTTAAACACTCAAAGAGCCACTTGGACCCGTTTCCCAGAGAAAACACTGGGAGCCGCAAAACTTGTGCGCACATGTGCGCGCGCACAAGGGGGATAGCTTGATTGTAGGGTTTAATTAAAAAGAAATAGAGGCTGCTGTGCATGAGTTCTCTCTCTCTCTCTCTCTTCCTCTTTCTCTCTCTCTCTCCCTTTCTCTTTCCTCTCCTTTTTTCTCTCCCTCCCTTTCTCTCCCTCTCCTCCCTTTCTCTTTCCTCTCCCTCTCTCTCCCTTTCTCTTTTTCTTCTCTCTCTCCCTCTCACTTCTCTCTCTCTCCCTCTCTCCGATCTTCTGCTCACCTGGCAAGCTGGCTTCAAGATGTTGTCCAACAAGCTGACACATATTCTTATTGGGCTGGCTCTCTCCTCCCCTTCCTGCTTCCTGCAGAGACACAGTGAAGACAGGGCCCCGGCCAATAAGCTGTCAGCTCGTCGGAGGTGAGGCCACTGTCTTTTTTACAGAGAGAGAGAGAGAGAGAGAGAGAGAGAGAGAGAGAGAGAGAGACATGGGGGGGAGAGAGAGAGGGAGGGAGAGGAGAGAGAGAGAGAGAGAAGGGAAGGGAAGCGCAAGTGCTTGTCTCTGTCTCTGCAAATGGCAGAGGAGGCTGGGAGACGCAGGGGGAGGCTCAAAGAGCTGCATGCAGCTCCAGAGCCGCAGGTTGCCGACCCGTGCCTTAGCTGGAACTAGGATGATGGTAGTATACTCATTTTTTTAAAAAAACATTTTATTAATTTTCTAATTTTACAATCATAAGTACTTAATAAACAACGTGTTTTCTGGGTCCATTGGTAATTCAGTGGTACATATTAACTTTCTCAATCTAGTTCCAATACTATACCAGTGCTTCCTTGGTCCTCTCTTCTTCTGGTGGTATGCAATTTCCACACTGGGCAAATAAAATTCTTGTTACTGTTAATACATATACAATTAAGTATAGACATCTTCATCACATTTTTCTAGTATTATACATAATATCAATAGTATCAGTTTATAATATCTTTTCTAGCCAAAACATATCTTAATTGCATTTGCACTTAACATCCATTTGCTCAATCTTGGGCTGCTTCTTTGTCATTCTTGGAAACTTTCACTTTTACAGACTGCAGCTGCTTATCTTGAGCTGCTTATCTGTGTTGGGGACCCTATTGGACTATAAAGAGTACATACAAAAACAAAAGGAGTGTTCCATACTTAGCTCAAATGGTAAAAAATCATCTCTAACACCTGTCTCTGAAGCTTCCAGCTTGATATACCAACATGAAAATGTTAATGAATCTCAGAAAGAAATTCTTTCTATCCTGAAATCAATCCAATAGACAATTGTTTTATTTCACGAGACTAAAAACAATGCAAATGAGATAAAAGAATAATTTTCTAATCTAAACTTACAATCTAGACAATGACTACAAAGAAGGAACTAGTAATCCAGAAAACAGAAGGAAAATTAGAAGAAACGAATCTAAAGATGGAAGAGCTAAAGGAAGGAATTGACAGACACAGACAAATGAAAGAATAGAATATAGAAAAGATATCTTACTTGTCAAGATCTCAGAACACATGTGAGGATAAGGAAGAAGAGCTGATTGAACGGATGATAAAGCTGTTAGGAGAAATGCTGAATATGGACAAACAAGAAATGAAAAGAAAAACTGAAGATGGAGGCTGTTCAATGAATATAAATGGGTTCTTCCAAAAATACTTCAATCAAATTTTCTTCCTTGATTCAAATGTACTGACTTGGAAAGTTATTTGGCAAAGGAAGAAAACTAGAGCAAGACTGAAGAAAATAGAGGCTTTGACCTATTAGATGGGATATTATACTATTAAACAGATGTTTGAATATGGTTAAGAAAATAGATAACTGTTAGAAATAAAAGTATTATAATTGGAAAGATAGGATTCGTAACTAGAATATAATATTTTGTTATAAGATGGGAAATATGAAAACTCTAAAAGGGTTTGAATAAGGAAAGCCTTTGGTTACCCAAATATAATTTATTATGAGAAAATTATAAGTGGTAGTATACTCATTTTTGTGCTCCTTAACCTTTCACAAAGGTTAAAGCTCTCTGATAGTTTTGGATACTATTAAATTATCCTTTGGAACTAACTACAAAATTTGGTAGGAGGCAATGCATTATGGTTTATTTTAGATTTTTATCCTGCCTTTACTGCTTTATAAGAAACTCAAGGCTCTGAATATGCATAATACACCTTCCTCTCCCACAATAAACCTGTGAAGTGGGATGGCTGAAAGTGGAATACAGAATAAGAGTTGGAAGACCTTGGAGGTCTCATAGTCCCTGCTCAAGCAGGAGATCCTATACCAGTGATGGCAAACCTTTTAGAGACCGAGTGCCCAAAAACCACCCCCACCCCGTTCCCGCTCCGCCTGCCCTCTGGGCCACTCACCACCTCCACGGCCCGCCACAGATCACCCAGGCAGCCCAGCAGCACCATGGTGGCCACGCCTTCTGCCCGTGCCCTGCAGCAGCATCTGTGCGCGATGGGGCACAAGGACGGAATCTTGTCCCCGCTGCCCAGCTACCATGTCTTTGGCAGCGCTGCTTCGCATAGGCCTTGCCGGGGGATGACTCTCCTCCGCGGGGAAGGCTGCTGGTGAGGAGGAAGGACTGGGACGACGGCGCATGTGCCCACAGAGAGGGCTCTGAGTGCCACCTCTGGCACCCGTGCCATAGGTTCAGCACCACTGCACTAGGTGAGATCGTCCCTTTGTTGGTGGATGTGCTTGATCCCTCCAGCATTCTGACTGGAGAGCTCTGCTAATTCCACACATCTTAAAAGTCGCTAACTTAAAAAACAAACAAAACTGTTATAAATTAACCTCTACCGCGAGAAAAACGATTGCTTCTGTTTAAGCCTAAATGAAAATAACACAACTTTGCAAGGCATAAAAACTCCTTATTATCTCTATGCACTGCCACGGGCATCCAGCCCAGATTTCTATGTCAACCACAGTTTCTGTACTGTACAGAACTCGCCTTCGCGTTACATCAACCAAAAGCTTCTTCTTCCGCCTGAACAGATATATAAGAGCCCCACCTCGCCAGAAGTCTCGACCGGAAACACCATTACTGTGCCTCTCCTTTTCTTTTTGTCTCTATGGTAGTAACTGTCCTATGTTCCGTTCGCGGAACAAATCTTTTCCGTGTGAGGGACAATGGAGGCTGTGGAAGGCGTTGAGGTACGAGAACGCCGAAAGATTGAGCATGAACCTGACCGGCTCGCAGCCGAGGTGGCCGGAACAACGGGGAACATCGCCTGCGGGCCCCCTCTCTCCGGGACCTCCTACTGGCTGGACATCTGGCTGATGATCCTCTTCGACCTCGTGCTTTTCGTCTTCGTTTACCTGCTACCTTAGCGGCAGCACCAAGGGGTGAGCCGAAAGGGGCGGCGGCGCAGGGAGACGAAGGAGACTTCTTGACACGGGAGAAACGACTGGGAAATGCCCAAGGCTAGCGGGGCCTTTATCATGCCCAGAGTGATTACGAGTCCCAAGGGCGAATTCAAGATTCGAAGAGAGATCAGTAGGATTCTGTTTGATTGCTTCGAGTTTCGTAATAGTGTGAAGCCGGCGGGTGGGGATTGTGATGTGCGGTTTTTTTCTTTTCGGTTGTGAGGACACGATTCGCTAGCTGCACTGGGACGCAGTGACCCCTCTGCTTCCGGAATCGCCTCAGGCCGTTTCCTTTGGCCACGCAATAATGTCGTCCTAGGCGGGTTTCCATGATGGGTGATGCTCTGAGTGCTTTGAGATAAAAGCACATCTTGTTCTGTAATTAGAAGAATTGATGTTAAGTCGATGAAACCTAATAAGTCTTGAACTGTCAAAACATTGTACTGGGGGGGGGGTCTGAGAAATTGTTATTCACCAAAAAACTTTAATAAGAAAATGATCAAATGGGAAAATATGAGTTAGAGGAACACATTGTGTACCTTAGGCGAATGACTTGGTTGTATTTCTTTAGTTAAGTCCAGATGCTGTCAGGTTTGTATATATTGGGACACTGGTAATTTTTTTAGCATTTGGTCTCTGTACACCACCACATTGAATTTGAAATGAAACAGTCAATGAGTGAAGACAGTCAAGTTTTATTTCAAGAAGTTTGACAAAAGTGTGGCATTAACATTGAGGAATTACAATCATTTTAATACACCTACACTCAGTTTTGGTGGCCCATTAAAGATGAAACAAACTAACATAATTACAAATATAAGCATCATTTTTAATAATGGATGAAAATCCTTTGCAGTCAATGACTGCCTGAAGTCTGTAACCCACTGACATGGCTAAATACTGAGTTTCCTTATTTGAAATGCTTTGCCAGACCTTTATTGCAGCTGCTTTTTATCTGTTGCATATTTGTGGGTCTTGTCATTGTCCCAATATATAGAAACCTGATTGTAATTCCCTTTTCCTCAGCTGGAGCAGGTAGTTCCCTTTCCTTTGATACAGATGCTTTCTCTTCTCAAAATGTTATCCTTGAACACCAGAACCCAGTTTCCTTTCCCTTCCTGCTAAGAAGCAATTTAATTATTAAGTATCATTATGCTACTAAATAGCTAGTCCTGTTTGTGTAGTATCTGTACTTCAGGGTTAAACTGTGGAGTTCTTGATGCTCTGTAAGCTTTGTGTTTATTTGCATATTTCTTTACATGATTAGGTAATGTAATTAGTGTCTCTGTGGGGCTTCCTTGGTGGTTTCTTGATTGTTTTTTAATAATAATAATAAAGTTCGAAGGGACCTTGGAAGTCATCTAATCCAACCCCCTGCTCAGGCAGAAAACCCTATACCATTTCAGACAAATGGCTGTCCATTCTCTTCTTAAAAACTTCCAGTGTTGGAGCATTCACTGCTTCTGGTGGCAGGTTGTTCCACTGGTTAATTGTTCTAATTGTTTTATCTGATTGTCTGATGTTAATCCCTGTTTATCTAAAAATTGACTGTTGAAGGGAATGATTTTTAGCCTTTTTGTTTCTTAGGTTTTCATTGTCTTTTTTGAATAGTGTGTGAACATGATTTATCTTCTTGTGTCGATAGTCCTTTTTGGACCCCTAGCATTTTTTTGTGGGGGGGGGAATCTGACTTGATCTAAGATGCTAATAGATTTCCAGTTGTGAATTATTCTGCAACTGAATCCAGTTGTGATTATTCTATCCAAGTGTAAGATTAAGGAACTAAAAGCCACATCCCCACATAGACAGCAATCACACGTAATCACACTGATGATGTTGCATAAGTGGGTAAGGAAATGTCTACAAACAAGTTTTCAGCGTACCAAAAGTTCCACCTAAAATTTAAGCAATAGCATGTGGCTCAGGTCCAGCTATATAGTTAATTAAAATAAGGTTCGCTGTATTACACAAACCCAGGGCATAGGAATAAGGAGTAAGCATGTTATATAAATTCAGCTTTATTGTAATATATGAAGCCAAAATGTGAATTGTGGATTAGTCCAGTGTGTGACCCCAGCATTGATAGTTCAGTTTTATTTATGTTTGATTACAAGTAAATCTTGTGAGACTCTTTGGGGAATATTGGTGTCCTCCAAATGTATAGCATTATTACTCCTATAAGAAGACTACTGTTAAGAATACTAGAGCCAGTTTGGTAGTGCAGGGGTGTCAAACTGCCGGCCCACGGGCCGGACATGTCAATTGGAAGCCACACACACACCATTGCCAGCAATGGCAAAACCGTTCCGATATGTTGTGCGACATCACATGACGTTGCGAGTTTGACATGTCTGGTCTAGTGGTTAAGGCACCAGACTAGAAACCTGGAGACTATGGATTTTAGTCCTGCTTTAGCCATGAAAGCCAGCTGGGTGATGCTGGGTCAATCACATACTCTCAATTAACATCCCAGGTTTGTTGTTGGAGGGAAATAGGAGGAGGAAGGTATGTTAGATATGTCCTGCACCTTGAGTTTGTAAAAATAATAAAGGTGGGATATAAATAATATAATGAAAATGTGTAGTTTGGCAGGGAATTTAGAATTGCAACCTAGGACACAGATCGGCAACCTGCGGCTCCGGAGCCGCATGCGGCTCTTTGAGCCTTCCCCTGCGGCTCCCAGCCTCCTCTGCCTTTGCAGAGAGAGACAGAGACAGAGAGAGGAATTGCGCTTCCCTGCTTCTCTCTCTCTCTCTCTCTGTTTTTGTGTGTGTGTGTGTGTGTGTGTGTGTGTATAAAAAAAAGAGAGTGCACTCACAGTGTTCTCCGAGGAGCTGAAAAGCTTATTGGGCGGAGCTCTTCCCTTTGCTGCGTCTCTGCAGGAAGCAGGAAGGGCAGGAGAAAGCTAGCTAGCCCAGCTAGGCTGACTCAGGAATTCTGGGAGTTGAAGTCCATGAGTCATAAAAGAGACGAGGTTGCCTACCCCTGATCTTGTTGGACAACAGCCTGAAGCTTGTCAGGTGAGCAGCAGATAGGAGATGGGGGGGAGAGAGAGAGAGAGAGAGAGAGAGAGAGGGAGAGAGAGAGAGAGGAAAGAGAGAGAGAGAAAGAAAGAGAGCGGGGGAAGAGGAGTGGCAGACCAAGGGCAGATAGAGAGGGAGAGAGAGAGACCCTTTTGACATCTAAAATGAAGATAACACTGCATATATCCTTTTTTACGTGTGTGTGTGTGTGTGTGTGTGTGTGTGTGTATACATACATATACATATATATATATATACACACACACACACATACATACACACACACAAACACACACACACAAACACACACACACCTATAATAAAGGTAAAAAAGGATATATGCAGTGTTATCTTCATTTTAGATATCAAAATGGTTTTGCGGCTCCCAGTGTTTTGTTTTTGGTGGGAAACGGGTCCAAGTGGCTCTTTAAGTGTTTTGGGTTGCCTACCCCTGACCTAGGATGTCTTAGATGGCATCTAAAATTGCTGAGGCAGACTGGATGAGCGATTTATTATGAAAGTTGGATCTTCAAATATTACTGCCGTGCATTTCAGGAGGTTGTGTAGCAAGAAGTAATAGTAAACACTGTAGAATATGTGGGAGATAAATATGTTTTTTTAAATATGTTTCATTAATTTTTTTATGTAATCTAATATTCAATAAACAGTGTGTTGTCTGGATTTACATTTAAGAAACATTCGCTAACAGTCAATTTCTATAATCTATAATCCACATAATAACTTTACTTGATTTCCTCTTTTTCCCATAATGTTCTCTTTTACCAACCTTAAGTTAATACAATTCTTGTTGTTTTAATGAATGATGATGGAGTATAAAAGTTTTCTAATATTTCTACAGATAATAATCACATCAATATAATATTCCTTTTCTATCTAGTCATTCTGGTTGTCTCATAGATCCTGTTTACAGTTCTTGTTTACATTTGTTTTTCCCACAATGTTCAAAACATTCTTACTGGTTAAGATTTTCTCAAAGTTAATTACATTTAAATATTTAAGTCTATTTTTTCTCATGTAAGCCAACCCAATAGCCAATAAGACTAAAAAAAGAATAAGAATAAAAAAATAAAATAAAAAATAGTATGCTACTTAAAATCCCTATTTCCTATAAGCTAATACATATTTATTTCCAATTTTTTTTGTTCTTTTTTACTATAATTAAAAATATATTTAATTTTTAAATATTCCAATAAATCTAGTCTTCTAGTCTTTTAACTCTTATTCAAAACATTTTTAATCCATTGTAATTTTCTTAAAAGTCAATCACCTTTAGATATCTAAAACATTTCCTTTATATAAGCCATTCCAACTCTTTTATATTACTCATATTAAGAAATAAAATAAAAAAGAAGAAAAAGAAAATGCTATGTTCCCTTTTAAAGTCAAATTCACATCCAAAATTTTTCTATTTCTTTTAAACATATTCGAACAGGTGTTTCTTTTTTAAATATTCTCTCTGATAGGCCCCATCGTCTATTTTCTTAATTTTCACTTTAGCCTTTTTTTTGCCCAGTATCTTTCTTAATCAATATGTTCTGCTGAGTCAAAGAATCTTTCCATATTCTTGTAGATGTTAATGTAGATATAAGAGGTAAGTCAAGTACAATATCTTTGTGAGAGGCATTTGCCCATTCATTTTTGTTGAAAATCTTTTTATTTCTTTTTCTCTCTGCTTCTCTTATCATTTTTTGTCTTTCCAATTCTAGTGTTTTTCCTGACATCTCTGCAGTCCATTTTGTTCAATCTTTTTTCTTGTCCTTAAATTTGTTTTGTGGTGTTAAAGTATAAGTTGTTTTTTTCCAAATCCAGTATTTCTTGTAAATTTTTTTTCACTTGGGTTGAATCATACTTCTTTGTTTTGTTAGGTTCCATCTTTAAGTCTCTATCCTTAAATTTGTATTCAGTTGTCTCTTTTATCTGTTCCTTCTCTGTTGTTGTTGTCTAATTCTAAGGAGGTGATATGTTTAAAACTTTTGAACAACTGTATTTATGAAGTACCAAGTTTTCAGAATAGGGTTTTTGTGTGTGTGTGTGTGTGTTTGAAAAATTCAGTTTTAAATTATTCAAAAGCATGTATATGAAACTTCTTATCTATACTGGATTAATGGGTAGTTTTTTTAATCCAGAATTATGGCTTGTAATTCCTTTGAAGTAAGATTTTTAACTGCACTAATCAAGTAAATTGTCTTATTTCATTTACTAAAAAAATAAAATTCCATTTTGGAGTTAGTGATTGAGACTGTTGGACTAATTCAGAAAACGAGATGATAGAACTCTTTGCAGTTAAAAAAAATTGAATGCCATTTATATCTTAATGGATATGATTGTTTTTTACCTGTTGCAATCAAGACAGGCTAAGCAAAAGTATAAATCACTTTATGCAACAAAGGAAAAAAATATTGGCTGTCTGGTTATGTCTTATTATGGCTCCATAACATTATACAGGTAATCCCCAAGTTACTTACGAGCGTTCACTTAACACTTGTTCAAAGTTATGTGATGAGCACCCTCTAGTGCTTACGAGCAAGTCCCGAAGTTACGAATATTGCAGCACCACGACAGTCATTAGCCTTCACAAGCGACTGCAGTGGCTCTGCAACATTCATCCTGGTTATTCCCTCCCTCCCCACCCCCATCCCGGGTCTCCCTAGGCACCAGGCCTTCAATACTCACTCTATAAAGATTGAGATCCTTTGCTTTCTTGGCTGCTCCAGGTCTTTGGTGCGTACGCAGAGAATGGAGATCTAAAATAACGCAAGATCATGTGAGATCAGTGGGGTGAGATCTCACACTACTGATCTCGTGTGATCTCATGGTACTTTAGGCCTTGGTTTTCTGCAACAGAGAATGGAACCAAAGTTGGAGAATGCTTCCAGGTGTCTCTGGAGGCTGGATCGGGGCTCCAGAGGCCTTTTCCAGGCCACTGATATCCAGATCTGAGGCCAGGGAACGCTTCTGCGTGCCTCCAATGGCCTGATCCGGGCTCCGGAGGTGTTTTACAGGCCCGATTGGGCTGTGGGGGGGGGCGCAGAAAAGTTTGCCAGCCTCAGATCCAGGTGGCAGTGGCCTGAAAAAGGCCTTCGGACCACATCAGGCCACGGGGAGGGGCACAGAAGCATTCCCTGGGCTCAAATCCAAGCGGCAGCAGGAACCACGGCAGAGAAGAGACATCTTTTACAAGTGAGTCCGTGTCAGGAAGGGAGGGGGAAGCATGTGGTATCTTAATGGGTTGGGGAGTCCTTGGGGGCCTGTTCCATCATTAGGCCCTCCATGGCCTTCCCCATCCTGAGATACCTCATGTTCACTTAATGAGCTGTATGCATTTTAATAAGCAAGGGAATGATCTCCTTCAAGGTATGAGATTTACTCTACAAGTTTTCGAGTTACGAGTGGAATGGGCAGGCTCCATTGCACTCATAACTTGAGGACTACCTGTACAATGCTTGAAAAAAATCTAATACAAAATGATGAATTAGTTTATAATTTATAATGTGGTTCAACCAGAGGTATCAGTGGGTATTAAAATAGCTTTAAAAGTGGATCAACATTCAGGAAATACAGAGTTTTGGTGACTAACAACTGGAACAATTATATGACTAGAAGCAAAAAAAAAAATCTATGAATAATCAGTTGGCAAGGAACAACAGAATAAGTTATGTACTATTTTGAGGTTTATCAGGCAACTGATGATGCTGTACTAGAAGTCTGATGTGACAGGATTATATTGGGTACAGTTTTTTCCACTGATGGATCTAATTTTTGTTTTCTTTATTCAGCAGACAACCAGACTGCCTTCAAGAAAAACCAGCCAATATTACTCCTTTAGCTGGTTTTGCTTCAGAACCCAAAATAAAAGAACATTGGAAAACTGTTACTTCAGAATTTTCAATAACAACTACTCTTTCTGTATTTGAACTGTTGAGATATTTTTGCTGGTGAACTTCCTCTGTGAACTGTCATGTTTCACATTATTCGTCAATAAGTGCAGATTGTGTCTTACGTTAAATATAACACTGACATTGAAGTGACTTTCAATTAAGTTTGAAGTTGTTTATTTTCAGCAATCAACTCTGGACTGGAGACAGATCTCTGTAACAATAATTTATGATGAACTAGCATAAAATGAGAAAATGTAAACTGATCAATTCTGAGCACTGTTTTAGCTGCTTTTATGTAAAGAAGTTGCATATATTCTTCTCATATGCTCTGTTTTAAAGTACTTTGTGCTTTCAGCTTTGTGCCTTCAGCAGCAACGTGTGCTTGGACTACTATGTCGATGGTGTTTTTATGGTCATTTTTATAGTATGTAAACAGACCAACCACCTGAACAAATTTTGCTGTGTCTAATGTGGTTCTGATCCCCATTATGCTTTGGATTTGCCCTTTTGGAGTTTCATGTTCTAAAAGTAGATTGAAAAGTAAGTCTGTAGACATTCCTGTTAATTTTCATAATTGAAATGCTTTTCTTTCAATCAGTTTTGTGCTCCTCTCTCAATATATGAACTGAACATTTATTTACATTTATATCCTAGAGAAAATGGATTCTCCCCATTTTTGTCAGGCTGGGACCAAGGGCTTTAAGCATTGAATTAATTACATTCTACTTGGGTTGTAAAAAATTATTGCGTTGAGCACAAGACCTGAAGCATTGGTAGAAGTAGAGTGAAGTTCATTTGATATTGAGATCGAACTTGGGCTTATTTTCATTCAGAAACTTTGGAGGGGGATTCTTGAACTAAAAATGTCAGAAATTTGAGGGCGAGGGCTATATTTAAAGAATTGCTATTCAACCTACATAAGTAGGTGTCACTTCCTCTACAAGAATTTACTGTATAGCCAAGCAGTAAAGTCTGAAGTGACTGAATCAAATATATTAATAAATATCATAACTTGCATTCTTTGTCCTAAGTTAATATTCTAAATTTGTTCTTCCCTCAACTAATAATGAAATAAACAAACCTTCAATTATGTAAATGTGAATTCTGGTCTGCATTTACAAAATACAGTGATGATAGCAATACAGTGTTTCTTCTCTGACAAACTGAATATTTAGAATTTTCTTCTCAAATTCTAAACAAGCAAAGAATAGGAGTGTGTCCCAAAATACTAGGTTCTCTCTTAATTTTCTGAGAAAGTCAACCTACTGTAATGCAATAGAGTTATAAGTACTACGAATAGAACTGAATTCACCGTCACTTGTTTTACTGTAGGGTCTAATATAATTCATCAGAACGGATAAGAGTCTTAAAGAAATGGGCGAAGAAGACCATCACGATGAATTCAAGTAAAACAATCCATACCTCATGATTTACTTACATATACATATTTATTAAATATGTCTACTAAAGTTATTTAGAATCTTTTATAGTGTCAGTATGTCCACCCCTACCCATTTAAAAATGTGGAGTCTTGGCAAATTTAGTATAGTGAAATGAAAACTAGCTTATTTAAATGAGTAAGGATTTAACAAATATTCATTTATAGAATTGAACATTTTATCTGATTTTACAGATCAACTGTAGTTCAGAGTGATACTATGATATGGAACTGAATGCAAGTGTTACATTTTTCACCAGATGTTTGGTCACTATTATTTGCTAGCAGATATTTACACTCAAATTGAGGAAAACTAGATTCTTAAAACTAACAAATAATGGTTTGCTCCTGTTTCACAGAAAAATTATACCTCTGTAAACTAAGCAAAGAGATATTGGATATCTTATTTTTGTTTTATCAGCAGGTACATGCAGGACAATTTTTAAAAGTTTTAAAAAGATATTCCTCTATAACACATGTTAAATGTATTTAACATTACAAAAGCCATATAGTCTAAAGGGACAATTATAAAAATAAAGTAAAAAATCAAATATTTTAAGCAAATATTAAGGCTGTACAGCCAGCTATGAAAAGTTGACAAAATTCCCATTATTTAACAGCAATAAATTTGTGTGAAAATGTCTATTAAGACTTTTATATTTCTTTAAAGTACATGTACTCACAAATCCAACATTTCTCATTTATACAGGAAATGAACATTTGCTTTACATTTTTAAAATACAGTAATATTCTTAACAGGTAATTCACATTAGTGTTTACATAAATATTACAAATTCAAATTAATTCAGTAACAGCTTTCAATTGTACACTTTGATTCCAGTACTTATAATTCCATTTTTACCTATAAAGGTGTTACATTATTACATATTACCTGCATATCAGGAATGAAATGAGACTTTTTTAATTTAAAAAAAACTTAAAATATCAGAAACTAATTTTAGTTACTTTGAATTGAAGTTACTTCTCTTGGTTTTATTTGTAATCATGATCTCTCGGTTTTATTTGTAATCATGAATATGTTAACTATACATGCTTTAAACAAACCAGTAACTTCTGAAAAAGCACTCAAGCATGATAGATATCAACAAGATTAAAAGCTAAGTCAGCTCCATAAAAAGAAACTGACAATGTGGAGTTACATTCATAGTTAAGATGGAGGGTCAGTCTGGTGTGCTAGTTAAAGCACCAGAATAGAAAACAGGGAACTCTTTGAGTTCCAGTTTCATCTTAGGTACAGAGCCAGCTGGGCAGGTTGGACCAGTTGACTCACTTTTACTCCTAGGAAGGTAACGGCAAACTACTTTCAAATATGTCAAGACAGCAAAGGACTTGTCCAGGCACTTGTCAGGAGTCAAGACTAACTTGAAGATATGGAGAAGAAAATAGGTAAGATACTGTCAGTGAAAAAAGATATTCAATCTTTGAGCCTTCAACTCAGTCTTGACTGCAATTTTTGGGGAACAGCTTCTGAAATATTTTGCTGGTGCGTTCTTTCTAGGAGTAATTGTCTCAGTCACTCAGTTGGTTTTGTATCTAAGACAGGACAAAAACTCCGGTCTTCTGCCTCTAATCTTATATCTTAGTCACTAGACCTACTGGTAGTCTTCAACTTATGACCATAAGTGGGGCTGGAAAATTTGTTGTTAAGCAGGGCAGAAGTTAAGTGACGCATCCAGTTTTATGAGCTTTTTGCTGCTTAGCAAATCACTGTGGTTGCTAAGGGAAATATCATGTGACTCTGACTTGTAACTTTCCCATCCTTCCCATTGACTTTATCAGAAGCTGGCTGGAAAAGTCACAAATGGTGATTGCAGGACACTTCAACTGTTGCGTTGAACAGGGGTCAAACACTCAGATCACAATCATATGATAGGGATTTATGTGATGGTTGTTAAGTGCAAGGAGTGGTCATAAGCCACTTTTTTCAGTGCTGTTGTGACTTCAAAGACGCATTGAACGAATGGTCATAAGTCAAGGACTGCCCATATCTTTCAGACATTATTTGTTCTCTGAAAGTTTAGAGAGCAGGAAGACTCCATTAACATAAATGTGGAACTTTAATGTAACCATATTCCTTATTGTAGGGAAGCATGCAAGCATCTCTATTTTTACACTACTAATAATATTCCGAGTAGGCTCAACCACCAATTTTAATAGCATTTTCTCCATTTGGACAAAATCACAAATTTGTACTTGTATTTAATCTAATAGTGCAAACTTACAATGGTTTTCCAAAACACATAGCAGCTATCATGCTGAAAACTAAAACACATTTACATTTTTTCAGGATCATCTTTGTAGCTATTATTTTAATAAAAAATGCTTATATAAAGAATTTTAAAAGGTACTGTGTCATACATTTTTACCTAAAAACTGCAAGTGTATTCCATTTCAATCTTTAAAAAGGAATTATTTTCAGGCTGAACTGATCAGAATCAGTTTGTGCCTTTGCTGGTAGTATTAAATAAGACTTTAAGAAAACCAGAGTACTTTCTATACATGCAATGATTTAAATATTCTCCACAGCAGCTTTAATATAAAAATATATTTATACAATTTATCACATTTTTTGCAGCCCAACAATATACTTAAATGTTTTTTATTACAAACAACTGCTGTGCATAATTTTTATATTTAAAATACTGCACGATGCAAGAAACTATTGCTATTTAAAACTCTAGCTACCATAAAATATACTGTATATTAAAATAAAATCTAAAACTTCATTAAGGCATTATTTCAAATATTTAAAAGATAATGCGATCCTGGATAACTGATTCAAGAAAATAGATAAATGGTTAATATTTGTCTACTACAAAATGTAAGTTTTTAATGATTATGCCATTCTGTGCATATTTCTAATATCAGCATATGCCTCCAGCATTTAATACATTTTTGATTAGTCTAACAAGGAGTTTTAAAATAATTCTGTCATAAAATTTCTTATGCTGCCTGTTTCATTTGGCAAAACAATAGTGTTGACTATTAAATTTCTAATTAAGAGTACCTGATTATAAGGGGAAATGAATATCCATTTAATGCACTTTTTCACTTGCTTGCAAAAGTTCTAAATATCTCACAAACAGAATTTCTAAGTGTTTCAGAAATGTTTTCCTTGATACTCTCTGGCTACTCAGGTCTTTAACAAGAAACATGCTCCTCAGGAAGCCAATTTAATACACTTGTAACTATGTAGAAAATGCAGTATTTCACACTGTGAAAGTTTTGTCCTGGAGCTAATCAGTTCACAGGGAAGTCATAACTACAAAATGACATCAGACACAAAAGCCTGAAAAATTGCTACAACATGCAGCCCATTTATATCAACCCATAAATCTCTCTATATATCTTTCATTTGAAAGGGAGCTTTTCAAAACTGAAGTGTTTGGCACACTTCTGACACACACACATACACACACACACACATTTTGTTTGTGTGTGTGTGTGTATATAAATTTGTGTGTGTGTATACATACATACACTAAGTATAGTAGATCCAGCATGTGTGTGTGTAAATATATACTGTATATACATACTAAAATAATCCATATTGTCATACTGAGGTAGTACAGTGTATGTAGACTATATTCAATTTTTACATAGCAAGCTTGAAAGTGCCTTTACATGAAAAAAATGAAGTGCATGTAAACAATTCATATCACTAAAAATTTCCTTTTGTGACAAACTTTACATAAAGAACACCATTTTCATAAGACAAAAACTCTCAAGGCCATTATAAACGTTGTACTACCTTGTTATTGCATTGTATCCTTTGGTGCGTAAGAATAATCCTTATATTTAAATCTTGTTTTTTTAAAGCAGTACAAATTACTGTCTATACTTGTGAAGGTCAACTTATCTGTGAAAGGGCTTATCTGAGAATATGTATCATACTCCCGTTTCAAATTCTGTGAAAGATTTTTTTCATGAGAATTCAACATTCAAAATAAATTTAAACAATTGTGCTTTAAAATGTTCTATTGTCTAAATAATATGGAAATTGCAAATGGATACATGATTTAGGTTTTATAACCTACAAAGTGCTATAATTAGTAAGAAATTTAACCAACTATGAAATCAGATCCAAAACCTATTTTCAAATGTATGTATGTATGTATGTATGTATGTATGTATGTATGTATGTATGTATGTATATATATATATATACAAACTGCCGGCCTGCGGGCCGGTTGGTTGTGACACATCACATGATGCGGCAAGTTTGACATCCATGTTCTAAATCAAGTCATTTTTAAAAGAAATGGTATTATTTAAAAAAAGCTGTATCTATCATACGAAAGCAATTGATTGAACTTATGCAAAATTGGCATTTCCACAAGCATAAAACCATTTTTGATATTTCTTTATGACGCATGCACATGCAAGGGACAATTCATTAATGTATACTTTCCAAATGAAATGTAGCTAAAGTATGTAAACTTAAACATCACATTGGGTTGGAGTTCTAAGGATTTATATTCATTTCCAAATTATTCATATTACACTACACATTTCCAATATTAGATTTATGCTTCTGCTGAGATGTGGCATGATTTGATTCAGAAGTGTGGTGGTATGTAGTGTCCAACTGCATTCCAGTGGGTAACAAAGACCTTTCTTTGTTTGACCCACTAGTATCTGCAAAATACAGTTTTGGTCTCTGGTGGTATTTAATTCTATAAGTATCAGTCATACAGTTATCAACTGAAAAATAAGTAGTAAGCGATATAACATCATTTGCATTTGCATCCAGGCAACTAGAATTTGGTTCTGTAAAACAAGTCCGTTTGTTAGATGCAGTGCATAAATCCTTTCCTAATAAGCTCGGTGAAAAACTCATCTTAGAGGACTCATTGTAATGAAGTGCTTTCAATCTTTCTTCATTTGCAAATGAACTTGTTTCTGGTATACTTTTTGAAGTAGCAATAACAACATGCTTTTCAATTTTTGGATGATCTGTATAGTTCAACTCCACAGTGGATTCTTGTTCTATATCGTGCAAATGGGCCAGAGTGTATTTCTTTGGTGGTAAAGGTGGTGGAAGATTTTGGTAAACTGTTTCTGTTGCACCATCATGCTTATTACTGTACATGCTGGTTTTATGTCCAGTAGAAGAAGCAGATTCAGTACAGCAAGACTTGGGTTTATTCTGTTGTAAGAAAAATGCAAGGGTAGGAGTGGAATTAACAGTCTTGGTATGAGATACCGGGCAAGGGACTTGTAAATGGGTAGATGAAGATTCACAGTTGTTTTGAACTTTTTCAGACATGATTCCATTCTCACCAATATAAGAAAAAACTGAACTATCAGCACTATAGATATTTGTCTCAATAGGTACATTTTCACCAGACCATGGTAAAGAGCTTTGCTCACTGATTGTACTGGTTTTTATTTCTTGTTCAATGTGATCTTTTACAGCTGTCTGCACTGTTAATGTAGGTAAAGACTTCTTATTGTAATCTGGTACGTCAGTCCTAGAAAGCAAAGTATTTAAGGCTGTAAGTATTAATATAACTATTGCAAAACAGTAAATATAATCCAATTCTATTTGACATCATTAAAATAAAATAATCTTTGTTATTTCACGGTGGGTGGGGGAAGCCTATAAGTTTTTAAGAATCTAGTAGAAACTAGAATTTTGTGAACAAGTATACAGGTATGAGCAGGCTTTATATTCATGACTGAAATCAGTAAAGACAACAAATGCTCTTGAGAAAGAAAAGAATCAGCCAGAAAATATGATGGACAGTAAACTGGTACAGGGAAGTTATGGAAGAAACAGTCAGATTGTCTGTCTCCATTAACTAGGCATTAATGTCTGGTTGCCAGATGAAGCCAGTGCTTCAGGCTCAGTGAAAATATAACATTTATAAAAAATACAAAAATTCCAATGATAACTGGTACAAAGACAGAAAGGCATCAAAAGATGGAAGTGCTTCTGCATTTTATTGCATAGTGTCAAATATATGTCTATATGCCATTTGCCATGAACAATGCATACTGTTTGATACAATAAACCAATGTTTTTCAAATTATTCCATAGAACTGTAGTTTTGTGAGAGCCTAAGAGCAAAACAAACAGGAAAAAAAAGTTGTTGAAACAGTAAATTTTCTATCACAGGAGCTTTAATTTTTGATCAGTAGTTCCAGGTTTACTTTTTTAGCTAACAGTTTCCATGGCCTGAAAATTTAAAAAAACCCTGCAAAATACTACTGATTTTAAATTCCCTGAATGAACTGAAAATTCTTACACAGCCAGAGGTATTTATTTATTTATTTATGGGACTTATATACCGCTTTAAGTGCAAGCACTCTCTAAGCGGTGTACACCAGTAAGCAATGTATATATATATTTACATTGCCCCCAACAATCTGGGTCCTCATTTTACCTACCCCGGAAGGATGGAAGGCTGAGTCAACCTTGAGCCGGTGAGATTTGAACCGCTGACCTGCTGAACATAGTCAGCTAAAGTGGCCTGCAGTACTGCACTCTAACTGCTGCGCCACCTCAGCTCATAGGTATCTAGAAAAGATGTTTTAGGATACAATACCTGATTCCTATTCCTAAAATAATAGATTCTTTGCTGGTCTATTTCATGCCTCATATTTATGTATATGTCTAGCCATCAGATATAATCTGCATTGTCCAATGGCCAAGTTCTAATCTGCTTAAATAACAAGGTATGAGAGTGATCTCACTCTTACAAATGAACTGTGGGACAATATAAGAGCACTGATTGGCAGATTTCCATGTGTTCATATTCCATCCATCCAAGATCACCAGCCAGCAGGAAAAAAAATATCAATTGTTCTATTTACTGTGAGGTGGGATAGACTTGGGTAATCTCAGGCAAGAGTCAGAGGATTTTCTTTTTTGTAGTTGCCTAAGTGAAAAGTTGTTGCTGGAAGGTTTTCAGTTCCAGCAACCTGTCACTTGTGTTATTTCTGAAAGTGTGAAGGCTGATAATGGGAGAACAGTTCTGCGAAAGCTATAGTCAAGTAGTCTGAAACCAGACTAGTTTAGTTTCCAAAAAACAAAAGATAGGTAGAAACTATCTGTTATGCCAAAAATAGAGTAGCTTCAGCCAAGAGAAAAGGTCCAAGAATATGAATACTGCTTTTATTATAAGCGAAACCTGCATTTGATAAATAGCTGTTGATGGAATTCTTTCATAATGGTTTCATTAATTTACCAATGCTCAAATCAAACTCAGTCCCAGAGGAGTAGAAGCCAGCCATTTAAAAAAAGGAATTATAAGCCAGTTATATTACAGTCGTTTCAGAGAAAGTGGTAGGAAGAATCAAATTAAAAGGAACTAAGAACAAAGAGAAAGATTTGCTGAAGAAAAATTGGCATGAATTTTGCAGATAAATCTTGCCTCACCCACTTTTAGAGTTTTTGATACACCAATAATCAGAAAACCCTAACAAAGCCTTTTTAAAAGTTTCTAATTAAAGGCTTTTGAGTAAATGTACTGGCTATGGGCTGTGAATACCTATGCTTTTGTCAACAGCTAACTGGCTAAAATACAGAAAGCAAAGTAAAAGTGAATAGGCAGTTTCTCAATGGACGGAGCCAAGAAAGGAATTCAAATTTAGGAATATGAAGTGATGCACCCTTAGGCAAAAACCTCTAATTTCACTAACACCTTGATGCATCTGACTAGTTCAGGAGTTTCAAACTTGGCCCTTTTATGACCTGTGGACTTCAACTCCCAGAATTCCTCAGCCAGGCATGCTGGCTGAGGAATTCTGGGAGTTGAAGTCCACAAGTCATAAAAGGGCCAAGTCTGAAGACCCCTGAACTAGACTCTAACTAACCAAGAAAAAAATCTTGAGGTTAAAGTGGATAATACAATGAAGGTGTCAACTTCATGGGTGGCAGCTATGAATAACATAAAATTGATGCTATAGATCAAGACACTAAAAATAAATATGCCAACATTATAATTCCCCTGTACAAACCTATGCCCTTCTATATTTGAAGTTCTATGTATAGTTTACTATTTGAAAAAGGATATAATAGAGCAGAAAAAGGTACAGAAATGGAATACCAAAATAATCAGGAACTCAGTTATTTTTCCTATGATGTAAGTTACTATTAGCTTGGAAAAAGATAATGGATAAGGGACATGATCAAGGTTTTTTAAATCATACATGACATGGACAAAATGAACAGAATTCCCCCCCCCCCCCATGACCACAGCTACCTAGTCAAAGTAACTGGAAGAAGATTTAATATATACAAAATAAAACAATTCTTCCTCTAAAATAGTGGCCCCCTGTTGTGATTCCTCCCCAGCCAGTGGACCGGGCAGCTGAGTCTGAGGAATCAGAGGAGGGGCCTGGAGTGACATCAGAGTCAGAGGAAGGCTGTGAGTCTGAGTTGGACAATGATGAATCACAGCTGGGAGATATCCAGGATGCATGAAAATGCCAGCAAGAAAAGCTGCATAATAAAAGGGAAGGTATGGGAGGTGCTGGTTGCCAAAGGCAACCGTTCGTATTGAGGAATCGAGTTTCTGTGAACTGTGTTTGTTTGCCTTGGACATTGACTCAGGTCTGTGAGTAATAAAAGGCCCAGTTCTAAATGGATCACGGCCCGGGGATTGGGAACTCCTCCTCTAAAACATAATTAATTTGTGGAATTCATTTCCACAGGACACGATGATGGCCACTGATTTTGATAGTTCCTAAAAGGGTAAATTCATGGAAATTGATCAAAGAGTCTTAGAGTAATTGTTATCTCTAAGATGGGGGTAGTTTGTCCCCAAATACTAAATACAAAAGAACAAAAGCAGTAAAGGGATATGTCTCCACTTTGTTAGTGAGCATGGACACAGTTTGGTCATTATGAAAAACAAAATGCTGGATTAATGTAAATCTGTTCCAAAGGAAATGTTCTTACAGAGATATAAATCCCATCCTAATAAAATACTTTAGTATAACCCTCTTTTGTCTGAATAAATAAAAATAATAGTTTATATTTATGGAGGAAAGCAATAGAATGCAATAAATCTTAAAACACTTATGAACATAGGCCGCCCCTATCTGTGATACTGAATGGCCTGGATAGTAACAGAAGGCAGCATGTGAGCATTAGTTAACCTACATGACTATAAAAACTTACTTTTCCACACTGATTTTTTTCATGGTTGAAGAAAAGATGATATAGATAACACATTCCTTTTTTGATAATGTATTTAACATCTCTAAAATAGTCAGTACATCATCTTTTTCTTTTGTTCAAATATTCACATGTACAACATTGATTTTCTGTGGTATTGAAAAAATTGAAGACTCCACATTACACAGGTAGTCCTCGAACTACGACAGTAATGGAGCCTGCTCAGGTTGGTTGCTAAGCACCCAAATGGGGTATTGTGATGGGAGAGCAACACTCAGAACTTTGGAACTAGGTCATAAGTATCTTTTGCGGGGGGGGGGGTCCATAGCAATTTTGACTGGTCATAAGTTGAGGACTGCCTATATCTATTTATAGAAGTCATTGAAACTTAAGCATCCTCAATGTGAAAACTTGCTATCAATCTAAATTGAAAGCAAGGCATTTGCCACTAGTTATAGTATATTGCAATTACAAGAGAATGTACCGTAAATGCCGGCGTATAAGGCGACTTCCGCGAGTGCTGAAATCGGCGCCAAAGACGGGGGTCGTCTTATACGCCGAGTCGTCTTATACGCCGGAAATACTGGTAGTTTCCGGCGTATAAGACGACGTTCTAGGAATGCAGCCCGGCTATAAAGACGGGGGTCGTCTTATACGCCGGGTCGCCTTGTACGCCGGCATTTACGGTACATGCTGTTTAGAATTATAGAGAGTAACTTCAGAACTTCGATAAATGTCTGGAGACCTACAGAGCCATACACAGTTACATATCCCTGCTACACATTACAAGGTGCATAGTTAAAAATTACCTTTGTATCTGCAGATGAGAAGTTGATAAGTTAGGTGGCTTGTAGTTAATATGCGTATTAACTTCACCTTTCTTCAGTGCTGAAAAACAGTGTAATTTACTTTCAACATATTTCTTTATAGTTAAGATTTACTCAAGGTAGACTAGTACAGACAAAGCCTTCCAGCATAACACTCATAATTTTAAAATTCAAGGAAAAAGTATCAACATTTGTTCACACATGTTTTCTAAAATTATTGTTTGAAATTCCACAATTAATAGTGAATAGCAAGCAAGATATTCAAAAGATCCTTTCAGACCCTAAAGAAATCAACCTAACATAAATTCCTTCAAACCCAGTGTTTTCAACAGGAAAAATATGTATGCATTTGATGCAGATATAGGCCAACAATAATATTTAGCTAACTGAACATTTTCAGTTCCATGTTCTATGGAACTTTTCAGAATAAATAGGTTTATTTGTCACTAGTTGCTGTTTTTCTGCTGCTGAATTACAGCTGGAGTGGAGAATCCCCACAAAAGATCCTGCCAAACTACAATGTTAGCATTCCTTATTATTTACCCATGTTGGCTGGAACTGCTGAAAGTTTTAAGTTGGCAACTCCTGCAAGGCTATGGGTTCAACATTCTTAGATTATTACTATAAACACAGCTAGATTTGAAGGAAGTAAGGAAATTGAAATATTAAAGAAAGAATGAAAAGCTGGAGTTCTCAATTTCAAATGTGTACTGCAAATTTAAAAATAAAGAAAAGACAGTTACAGGTAGTCCTCAACTTACAACAGTTCATTTTGTGATTGTTCGAAGTTACAACAGCAATGAAAAAAGTGACTTATGACCGTTTTTCATACTTATGACAATTGTAGCATCCCCATGGTCATGTGATTTATATTCAGATGCTTGACAACTGACTCACATTTATGATGGTTGCAGTGTCCTGGAGTCATGTTATCCCCTTTTGCGACCTTCTGACAAGCAAAGTTAATGAGGAAACCAGATTCACTTAACAAGCATGTTTCTAATTGAACAATTACAATGGTTCATTTAACAAATGTGGCAAGAAAACTCATAAAATGGGACAAAACTCAGTTAAATTTCTCACTTAACATAAATTTTGCGTTAAATTGTGGTCATAAATTGAAGACTCCTGTATTAAATTTCTATTTTGGCTCAATCTTTACCAATAAGAATTACTAGACTACTGAAATAGAGACAATATTGCCCTAAACTCCAAGGAAAAGAAAAAGGAACTATAAGAGAATAAGACTGACATCAATACTAGAAATATTCTATAGCACAGTGGTAGCGAACCTCTCTGTGGGCACGCGTGCCGTCGGCCCAGTCCTAGGCCTTCAGCTGAGTTTTATAAAACCTTTTTGCTTTAGGCCTCCCCGCCATGTCCAAAAAAAAAAGGTTCAATTAATCAGTCAATTTCAACTTCTCATGGGGAAAAAAAAGATCTTGCAAAGTTGGAATTGATTGATCTTTTTAGTCCCTCCCAGTCTGCCGTTACCACTGCAGCCACACCCACCCAATGGGCCACACCCACCTGGCACCCGACGATGCATAAGTGGGTTTTGGGTTGCAGCTGGGCACTCGGTCTCTAAAAGGTTCGCCATCACTGCTATACCAGATTGATAGAAAAAATGAATAAGCCCTTTTGGAACAATGTGGTCATTACTAAAAGAACAATCTTACCCAACTAATCTTTTTAATTTGATAACTTCCTCGGTAGATTGTAGGAATTTTATAAATTTAAGTAACACATCTGATTAAATCTCCCATGACATTATCATTTAGTAAGCAAGTTAAATGTGGATTTGATTGCATAATCATTAAATAGATACTTAGCTGATTTGAAAAATGTGCCAAGAGCTCATCAGTGACTTTTCATTTAACTGGACTGAATTTATCAAAGGGGAAACCATGCAAATCACTCCTGAACCCTCTGCCCTTCAACAATTTTATTAATCACTTAGACGAAGAGGAGAGCAAAGCAAATGTCAAATTTAAGATGGATGGAATTTAAAAAGATAGGAATATTTTTTAAAATATTTTGATAGTTTAGAGAAATCAACTGAAAATAATAGAATGAATTCAAAGTTGTGTCCATTGAATGCAAAATACAAATGCTCAGATAAATGATAGGGGATATTTATATACCTGATGTGATAACAGTACTTATGAAAAAAAGATATTGAACAGTGAACTGTACAGAAATTAGCAGTAGAATGTGATTGCAAAAAAAAAAGGTTGTATCAAAAGTGTGTTGAATTCAGTATGCATTTTAAGAAGGTTTCAGGAAAACTGGAATGGTTCAAAGAACTACAAGGATGTTAAGAAAACTGGAAATAAAACAAGTGAAAGAGATATAAAGATATTGGGAATGTTAAATCTTTAGAAGAGGGACTTTAAGAGTCTCTAAAACAGCTTTATTATATGTTCAAATGAAGACTGACACTTATCTATTGTAATACTGTAACTTGGTTTCCTAAATTAAGTAGGGATTATATTACAGAACCTAATGGTCTTTTCCAACTCTAGCTACAGGTAATCTTGTTTAGTTGTGGTTACAACAATAATGAAAAAGTAGCTTTATGATCAAGTCTCACATTTATGACTTTGTAGATCCATAAAACAAAGGAAAACTGAAGTAAGATAATCAGCACAGTCTTGGTTTTACTTAGCAATCACTTTGCTTAATGACCAAGTTGGCGGTCCCAATTGTGGTTGCTAAGTGAGGACTCTCTGCATAAGCATCAACACGAACATACTATGACAAACAACATGTAAAATTAATGTTAAAAGAAAAAGCCATGATAGCTTAATCCTAAAATCTGCTACATTTACAGATGTGTGATCTGAAAGGGTATTTCTACTACTTGTTTTCCCTGCCAAGATAATGGTAATTAAACATACGTGAGTAAATATTTAAAGTTAAAGTACCAAATATAATTAAATCATCCTGTGAGGTATTGTTTTGAAAATATTTTCTAAATACATTTTTAAGCCAACGTGCATTTTTTACTGTACTGGTACTAATTTAAATTAAAGAACCTGCTTAGGTTCTCTATCTTGAAACGCCATGAAAGTACCATTAATTATTACTATTTATCTTGAACAGGAGATGGCGGTACAAGCTTGCAACCTAATACTCTCAATATAGTAGCATTGTGGCAAACATTCAATGAGAATAGCTGGCTGATGTGCCTTCAGAATTCCAACTAATGTAAAAATAGATGTGTTATTTTTCTCTTCTGCTGACATGAAGATCCAAGCATGGTTAAAATCAGACACACTCAAAAGTAATTTTGACTCTATGTTCTAGTCATATTAATATGTCTGATGTTAGGACTGCACTTTTATTGCTACTATTAATGAAACAATGTTTTAGAAGTTGAGAATAAATTTCATTTATATTATTTTTTTAATGTTTTATTATTTGCACATTATAAATTTTCACAAATTGGGTACTAATCATTTTTTTCACAAGAATTGGAAAGTAACAGACAATTTGCACAGAAAACCTGCCAAAAGTATCAAGAAAGAATTTGTAGATAGGAAGTTATAATAACTCTAACATTTAAACAGTACATTGTTCACAGTTCACAATTAACAATTCAATTAGCTGATATAACACTTATATTATCCTTACCTTCAAAAGAGTTTTTGTTCGGCGCGGAGAAAGACTGCAAGACATTTCCAGAATATCTGACTGATAGATTTTGGTCACTATGAAACAGAATACAAATAATATAACAGAGTTCACCAACCCTGAAACATTCTACTGAAACTTTTACAAAACACTAAATGTTTCTACACAGAAATTTAGAAATTCAACAAAGATATATATTTTATATTAAAAAAGTCAAACCTTGTTCCTCTTTTCTCTCACCCCCTCACCCTCTATTATAACTGGCAATACAAAGCAGAAACATCAAGAGAATATATCCAACTAAAGAAAAGTTAAATGCAAAAAAGGGAAACAACAATATTTTACATGATTATAATCTTAGTACTTTTACAAAACACAGCCTCATTATTCTATTTTGAATATCTCAAATACTGCCATTTAAATATAAGTAATGTTACACATGGCTCTTAATAAAATATGTTAAAAAGTTTCCCCCCTCAAATACAGGAAATCTACATAATGTCCATAATAAAGATTTGATAAATTAATAAGCAAATATTTTCATTTGACAATTTGTATCTTGATAATCAAACATAAATAGAATACCAATGCAAGCAATTCTATATACTAGACAATTAGTTTTGTATTTCTCTTCTCCTAAGCTTTAAATTACCAACAGAACTGGAATACCAAAAAGTCTATTATGTTAAAAAATATATTTTATTTTAAAGGATAAAATTTCTGGGAGAGTGTTTTGTACTATGGTATTGTTATATAACAATACATATGTATTCTGTATAATCACAAATATATATTTAATATCATTACCTGTAAAAAATGTTTTCTTTCGGAGTGTTGGGGTCAACTGGGCTGTTTCCTTCAGTAACTGGTGAATCCAAATTAGCAGATGCATTGCTGGTATGATCACTGCTTTCATAGCCACATTCAGTCCTTGGTGTCTGCCAATTATCAGGATGAACCTTTCTCTCTATAAATCCTGTTGTTTTTTCTCTATTTCCTTTCTTTCCCAAATCCAGTGAATTCTGGCTTCCTGCTTGTTTTGCTTCATCTTCATAGATAGTCATCAGACCCTTCTGACTCTGATTTTCTTTTGGGTAGTTAACTGAACTCTGCTCCTTTTCATGTTTTAGTTTATTGCTTGCATTTAGCTTGCATTTTGAATTATGTTCTCTTTTCTCTGCATCAGTAAAGATGCTATCAACATTCAGTGTTTCTCGCATGGGTTTCCAGCCTCTGCTTCGACTTCTGCTGCTACTGATACTTCCTTTGTCTTTGGAATCTTGGCTACTATCTGTTTCATAACCAGCTATGTGGTCAGTTTTCATACGGTTCATCTTCTCCCCATCTTCTGTTTTATTTGAGCTGAATGTCTGTACAGTGGGTCTAATTTGATTGTGCACCTTTTCATGTCGATAAGATCCTCTCCCTTGACTACTATATAAACGTTCATTGGAATGATGCCTAAATCCAGTTCCAGAAGGTGGTGATCCTGGCTTAAGATTAGTATGTATTTCTCCTGATAGATCTTAAACAAAGTACCAAAACAAATTATTTATAGTATTCAACTTTATTCTTTGTATAAAATATCTTTTAGTTCCTTAGAATTTCAAGGCAAACTTAGATAGGTTTGGTGTATTTGGGAGGAATTAGCCAGAAGAAAATTCTGTTACCTTTTTGTTTTCCAGATTCTTTCCTTGATCCTCTGTCAGAGTTTTTTCTTAATGATGATGAGTAATTTTTCATCTCAGCTGCCTTTTGAGCACATTCTCTGGAAAGATCTTTTGCTTTTTCTCTATGATCATTATGTCCCAATTTACCTGCAGCAATAAATGCAATTATGCTGTACACCTTCACAGTAATGGAACAGACAAAAAGATAATCTGATTCAGTTTTCCCTAATTTTTTTGGATAGACCAACAAAAGAAAATAACTTCAGCAAATATAAAGAAGTTTATGTCCTGCAACATATAATGCTTAGCAGATTACAATCATATTATTAAAAAAAGCAGTGGGTTAGTATCCTGTATTTGGGAGGAATTCTCTAATTTTTCTTCTGTGGTATTAGAAAAATGTTGGATCTCTGAGGTTTCTTTTTTTTTTCTGAAGAAGGTGCTGAAAATGATAAATCTTAAGAAGCAGCATATATAGGTTCATTTTCATACCTTCCCTTTTCCAAAGCTTAATCAGATCAGGAATGAGGAAAGCAACAATAAGACTGCTCCCAGGAGAAAGTAGAAACTATATTCTAGATTCTGTGGTAAGAACTCAGTAATTCTAAAAAAAAAACCATTCATTTTTAAATATACTATCCCTCCATACTCAACCAGATTTGGAATAACCAGATTACTTGAAACTATAGGTAGTCCTCAATTTACAACCACAACTGGGATCAGAATTTCCACTGTATGCAAGGTGGTTAATTAAATGAGTCACGTCCAATTTTCTGACCTTTTTTGTCATGGTTGTTAATCACCACAGTTGATAAGTGAATCATTCAGTCATTAAGCGAATCTGGCTTCCCCACTGACTTTGCTTATTGGAAGCCAGATGGGAAGGTCGAAATGGTGATCATATGACCTCAAGATGCTGCAATTATTGCAGATACATGCTGGTTGCCAAGTGTCCAAATTTTGATCACATGACTATGGGGATGCAGCAATGGTCATAATGTGAGGACCAGTTCTAAGTCATTTTTTTCAGTGCCATTGTAATGTTGAATGGTTGCTAAATGAATGGTTGTACAGTAATTTCAAATATTGTTTTTGATTCATTTGTTTCATTGGGTTCTCTTTATCTAGTTTGAGGGTTTATGTGGAGAACATATTATGTTTTAGGTCATATTTATGTAGAAATATTGAAACATCAAAAGATATTTGATTCACAAAATTTGAGCACCACCACATGGTAGTTTGCCAAACATTTTATATAATTAGCTTATATAATGTTTAATTACTTGTAGTAGGTAATATTTTTAAGAGCAAAACAAAATTATGTATGATTAACCTTGAAATTAAGCTAATTATAATTCAACCCAGTAATTTAAAAAAGTGTATGATACATACTCGACCCTCTGACATTAGTAGGTTGAGAAAAGTTCCTAGTAAAGGCAGTGTTTTCTAACTGTACTTTTTTACTCTTCTGGTTAGAAGTTTCTTCAAATCCATTCTCCTTTACATAATCTGATTTAACAAAAGTATGTTTCTCAAACCCTAGAAAAAACAAAATTTTAAAAAACATTACTTTTAAGAAGAAGACATTTACCCAGTTTATCTCTGAAATTGGTTTTCCAATGAATAACCTGCCTAACAAATTAAAAATAAATGCCTGAATAAAAGATACAGTGGGCACACTACACAGTTTAAATTTAATAGGAAAAATATTTGAAGAATGATCAAACTTCACCCTTTACTAACAAATAAATTCATAGTAAAATTCCATTTCAGACTAAAAAAATCCACATTTTAAAAATATTTAGTTATTGATCAAAAGAAAAAAATAACCAAGCAAGAAAACAACTGAACTAAGAGAGTAAGAAGGACTCCACAATTCAACAATGAGCTACATGTATTCTCTAATAGAAGTCTAGTATCTGATTTTTGGTTAAAAAAAAAATCCTGTATCTATTTTGCATGTAATGTATTACTGCATCCAATGTGAAAAATTAAATATGTCTCAGACTCAATTTATTAATTTCCTAATAACTAAAGATCCCACAACTTTCCTATCCCTAGCACTGACCTCAAAAATTGAGCATTAATACAAGAACACCAAAATTCATTCAATCAATAGATTAAGCTTATTAGCCTTTCAGAAAGTTCTTAAAACATTTTTTTAGCAGCCTTAGGGATCCCATGGGAACAGGGATGCTCTAAAGTGGTTATATTATATTTAGGATGTTGGTCTATTCTTAGTTGTATTTATGGTGATTTTTTTTAAAATGGCCGTATATACTTGTTTTAAAGTGTTTATTATATGCCATCAAAAGTCATGTTTGTGAGATGGGTCGCTATATAAATTTGCCAAATAAAATAAAAATAAACATGTGGTCCACTGGAAAATTTTAGGCAAGTTACCATCTCTACCCCAACTTGCCACAGTCAGTCTGAAAATAAAAACTAGGAAAGATTTTTATATATAATGAGTGGGAAAAAAAGGTGAATTACTAATATAATATTGGCAGGCCAACTTTCAGTTTATGCCCACCATATTAAGCATCTCATCTTACTAAATAAATATGAAGTTGTAAATATTCAAACTTCTATTACCAAATTCTTCTCCATTTCCTGTAGAGGCTTTATAATGCGACCAATGAATTATATGCTGCAGTGCATCTTCTGTTGATACTGGTGTACCATCTGGGTTTGCATAAAATAGTAGCAATGGCTGAAAGTGACACCGGATGCACTTGGTTACCACATCTTTCCATTTTGTTCCAACCTAAAAGAAAAAAGTAATCATTTAATTTAGTAAAGAAAAAGTGGCAATCTAATTAAAAATAAGCTGGTATACCTTCAAACAAATCAAAACGTCTTTAAATAATTTAGAGATGTGAAAAATAACTCTTTTGTGTAATGCATGCTAGTGAAGCAGCAAATTCCCTGCATGACTTAGAACAACAACTAAATCTTTCATCCTACATCATATGTATGATCAGAAAATATTCTGACAGCCTTAATTTTGATATCAAGACATTACTTTATGTCTTGATATCAAAATTAAGGATGGCAGAATGTTATATAAAGTATCTTTAATTATTTTTAGGAGCTATCTGGATGCCTCTATATAAAATGCAATATCATAACTTACCTCTTTAACATTAGCATCATCAAATAACACCCATTTACAACTCTTGGTATGAAAGGCAAAGGCACAATAATGTCTGCTTGCATAGCATATCATCCCCACAAGAAAAAGCTCACTGTTTTTGGCATGTTCATCAGTAACCCTATAGAACAACTGTAAAAACAATAGATAGGCTAGTAAGAAATAGAGCTGAGGATAAATTACAACAATTTTACATAGCCAGATTGAAAGAGTTCATCCAGTTTATTTACTAAAGCATATAAGACAAAGCATCTGAATTCTTTTACATCAGCATACTGTAATCTTAGAAATGCCTTTTTCAGAATAAATCGTTATACAACTGATTCCCTCATTAGAAGTTTTATGTTCTACTTGAGTCATCTATTATCATTTAGATCAGTGGTTCTCAACCTTTTTAATGCCGTGACCCCCCAACCGGTCGTAAGTCGAGGACTACTCAACCGGTCATAAGTCGAGGACTACTCAACTGGTGCAGCACCGTTTGCAGAAGGGGACTTTTGGCGGGCTCAGCAGGGCAGAGACAGCCTGGACAATTCCTATTGGCTTTTGAAAGCCAATAGAATTAGACTCTATTCAAGAGAGTCTATTCTATTGGCTTTTAAAAGCCAATAGAATAAAAGGGAGTAGCACAGCTAAGGAAAAGGAGAAAAAATGGCGGACTGCGTTGTTTGGCGACCCCCGTGAAATGGTCGTTCGACCCCAAATGGGATCCCGACCCACAGGTTGAGAACCACTGATTTAGATCAATGGCCTAAGATTTCCTGGCTGTAAGTAGGAATCACCAATGAATAGTTTCTAGAAATTAAAAAAGTACCTTGACTTTTCAAAATATACCTTTGGATTATGTTAACTAATTTACTGAATTTTAAGTTATCTTTTAAATTTTTGTTTCTGCTATTTTAAAACTGAAATACTTTATACATTATATAATAAATAGACACACACATTATTGTGTATTCAGTTATACATTTGTACTATTTTGTTCTAGGACACCTGAGAAATTTTATTACCTGAACCACATATTTTAAAGGTTGTATTTTGATTTGATTTACACAACCAAGACTAGGTGCAATATATCTTTTTTTTTTTTAAATCTAGGCCTATTAAAATAGTGGTAAATGATGAAGAATGACATTTCATGTGCAATCTAGTTATAAAGTTAAAAAAATCCTTTTAGCATGGAATTCTACGTATGCTTTTCAGGGAGAAATTCCAACTTCATTTGATTGAGTTTCTTCTGAGAATAGGACTCTAGTATTAGACAAAACAGAGAACTCTGTTCTTAGTAATTTCAAAGTTATTTTAATATGTTGAGAGACACAGAAAATTAAAAATATTAATATGTTCAATACCCCTGGAAGATAAAGTTGTGTTGCCAGATTTCGGATGACATCTTCTGTTAGATCAGAATGTTCAGAATCCCAAACTAATCCAATAGTAACTATTTCTGGAGAATTCATTAGAACACGACGGATTTTAATTTTTTGGCCACAGTTGCTCTACAAAAAAAAAGAAGCGACAAATAGTATGATCTAGATGCTTTTGAATGTCAAGATCTTCATATAAACCACATAAAATTCACTTAGATGACTATGTTTTATAATAGATAATATCTCCAATTTATTCACATCCCAAATTCCATTATTTCTGATCTAAATGGTCAGTTATAAACTTAAATATGTTATCAATAATGCTGCAATTCATCTGAGTTTCTTAACACTTTTTTAAAAAAGTAGGTTTCTTTAGAGACTTAAACAAATTATTGTAATTTTATTTTTGGGTCACTGAAATGTTTAATTGCAATTAATTGTTTTGTGTATCAATAAGCTATATGATTTCTGGTCTTCCGGTGGATCTGCGCGCGCGATGGCGGCTACTTTGTAGCCGTCCTCCTGGGAAAGTGTTAGAACCGCTATGAACAGCAGACATCAGCTGTTCTGCGGTTCAAAACCTCCTTCCCGGGCAAAGGGAGGGAGGAGAGTATCATCTGAATAGTGGTAGAGCCTCTGATGCACCCCAAGGTTTTCTTTTGGGGGTGAAAAGAGTGCTCCCACGGAGTTCAGATTGTCTCCGTTTCCCAGCTGTTTTTGTCTCTAGGGACAAAACAAGCCGCTGCAACCACCTCCGCGATTAAAGTGACCTGGTGAGTTTTTTTAAAAAGCGGACAGAGCTAAATAGAGGATTTTGTTTTTTCCGATCTTATTTGGATTTTAAATTTAAAGATTTACTTTTATTCCCTCTTTTTGTTTTTTTCTTTTGTTGAAAGGGAAACTAAAATGGCGATCGGCAGGTTTTTTGGTGGTTTTTTTTTTAAATGACTGGAACGGAATGGAACGGATTTTTTGATGTTGGGTTTGGATTTTAGGAGGATTATTTTCCCTTTCTGTTTAACTTTTTTTTTATTTTTTGAAGGACTTTTTTTGTTTTTTGTACTTTTAAAAAATAACGGAACGGATTTTTCTATTTAATTATTCTTTTTCTCTTTCCTTTTCTTTCTTTTTCTTAACTTTTTTCTTTTTATTATAATGATCTCCTTTTGAAGGAGTTTTTGATTTTTTGGAGTTAATCTCCCCCTTTTTTTTTTTTGCTTAACTTTTTTTTCCCTCCTTTTTTTGGGGTATTTTTTAAGAAGGACTAAAGATTTTCTAAGATGGCTCCAAAGCGTCCAGTAATCCCCACTGCTCCTAAGGTGGTTTCTTCTTCGGTGATATCATCAGTGCAACAATCTAAATCAATAGTTTCACCCTCTCCTTCGGCACAGTTATTAACGGTAAAGGATTTGCAAGACATAATGGGAAATGCTATATCTCAAATCAGGGGAGAAGTGAAAGAGATTTTAGTGGAAAATAATAGGATTCTGAGGCAAGATATAGTTTTGGCTTTAAAAGGATTTGCCTCTGTTCTTGAAAAGTTGAACTTTTGTGTAGAAGAGGTTGCAGACAAAGTGGAGCTCTTGGAGGGAAAATTTGAAGGCATGGAAAAAGAGATGGAAAATTCTCAAGATGAGATTCTTAGGCTTCAATATAGAGAAATGGAATATGCTTTAAGAATTAGAGGCTTGACCAGGGAGATGGTTGGCTTACCAATTGAGAAAGAAACAGAGACAGAGAATTATAGATAAAATAAATTATAATGGTAAATTGGTGTATCAGAAAGAGTTGATTAAGAAATCTTTTTTAGATTATTATCAAAAACTATATAAGAGTACTAATGTACAAACTTTAGATATAAATAATTATTTAAGTGAAGCCAACTTCCCCAAATTAACAGAAGATCAGAAACAAGAAATTAATGGTTTAATTACTAGTGAGGAAATTGTGACAGTGATTAAGGAATTAAAATTAGGTAAAGCACCGGGTACGGATGGCCTGACATCTATTTATTATAAAACTTTGCTAGAAGAGATGTTTCAACCTTTATGTGAGCTTTTTAATAATATATTACAGGGTTTAAAGACTTGTCCATCATGGGGCAGAGCCTTTATATCTTTAATTCCAAAAGAAGATCAAGATCTTACTTTACCAAAGAATTATAGACCTATATCTCTTTTAAATGTAGATTATAAGATTTTTGCAAAAATCTTAGCCAATAGGCTCATGAGGGTTTTGCACCAGCTTATACATAAGGACCAAACGGGTTTTATAACTGGTAGGTATATGAAGAATAACGTTAGACAAATTATTAACTTACTAGAATATTTAGATAAGAATAACCAAGTTTCTGCAGGACTGATATTTTTAGATGCTGAAAAAGCTTTTGACCAATTGAATTGGCAGTTTATGTTAAGATTAATTGAGGATATGAATTTTGGAGAAAAAATTTTACAAGCTCTTGGTGCTATATATCAAAAACAAACGGCACAACTTATAGTTAATGGGGGTTTGTCAGAAGTTTTTACAATAGAAAAAGGGACAAGACAGGGATGTCCACTGTCACCACTACTGTTTGTTTTAACTTTGGAAATTCTGCTGATTAAAATTCGAGAATCTCAGGAAATAAAAGGAATAGAAGTTAATAAAAAAGAATATAAACTAAGAGCTTTTGCATATGACTTGGTGGTTACCTTGTCTCAACCTACCTATTCTGTGGTAGAGTTGTTACAATTGATTTACCAATATGGATGGGTTTCGGGATTTAAAATTAATAATAATAAGACTAAAATATTACCCAAAAATATGACTAATTTGGATAAGCAGACTTTGGTTAACTTGACAGACTTTGAAGTTGTTGATAAGATAAAATATTTGGGGGTCACTTTATCTGTTTCTAATGTAAAATTGTATAAAAATAATTATGAAAGGTTGTGGGTCAGGGTACAAAGAGATTTGAAAAATTGGGAGAAGTTGCAATTATCCCTTATGGGAAGAATTGCGGTGATTAAAATGAATGTCCTGCCAAAGTTTCTCTTTTTATTTCAAATGATACCTATCTTAAAGAATGAGGTTAACTTAAATGAATGGCAGAAAGGTATCAATAAATTTATTTGGGCAGGGAAAAAACCAAGAGTAAAGCTTAAAATTATGCAAGATATTCGTGAGAGAGGTGGACTCAAGGTACCGAATTTGAAATTGTATTATGATGCTGTGGCTTTAACATTACTTAGTGACTGGGTTAATTTAACAAATGTAGAAATACTCCACTTGGAGGGTTGGGATTTACTTTTTGGATGGCATGCCTATTTAATTTTTAATAAAAAAGTTGACTGGGTTTTTAAATCTCATATTATAAGGATTTCTTTACTTCGGGTTTGGAGGAAATATTATAAAAGTGATTTTAAAATACCATTATGGGCTATACCTTGGCATGCGATAGAGGGGATAAGGAAAGGAGTTAAGATGGATAGTGTTTCTTATGCACAATTACTCAGATGGGATGGTAAAAATTGGCAGTTAAAATCTTTGGATGATTTAGCACATGAAAATATTAATTATTTATGGTTTCAGTATAGACAAATAGTGGATAGATAGAAGATAGATCGTAATATGAGTTTGCTTAGAGAAGATGAAAATCTTTTTAAACAAGTAAAAGATCAAAGGCGAACTCATATTAAGAGAATCTATGGGGTGCTAGTAGAACTGGATTCAGAACCAGAACTAATTAAAGAATGTATGATTAAATGGGCACAAAATTTTGGTGAACCAGTTCTACTAGATACCTGGGAAACCATCTGGGTGAAGAATATTAAATTTACACAAGCCCAGAACTTAAGGGAGAATTTTTACAAAATGTTTTATAGATGGCACCTTGATCAACAAAAAATGTCTCGTAGGTACCCTGACTTACAGCCTAAATGTTGGAGATGTGGTTGTTTGGATGCTACTTATTATCATATTTGGTGGTCGTGTAAAAATATAAAAGCTTTTTGGATTAAGATATGGTGGAATATTCAAAGAATTTTTAGAAGGAGGGTAAAATTTACCCCACAATTGTTTTTGTTGGGTATCGTTACTGATTGTGATGTTAAGGAGGTTATACTGATGTTAAATTTAATCACAGCCGCAAGGTTGTTAGTAGGGCAATACTGGAAGAAGGAATCTTTGCCTACCTTGCAAGAATGGTTTTTTAAAGTTTCTTATTTGGCGGAAATGGCAAAGATTTCAGCTTTTTTAAAGGATCAATCGCAAGAGAAGTTTTTTGCGGTATGGGAAAAATGGATAGATTTTATACAACATAAGTTGGATATAAAAAAATATTACTTAGTTTTTCAATAACTTATATATAAATTTTAATATTTTATAGATTGTATTTTTTTTCTTCTCTTTTCTTATATTTCTTATTTTTATTTTATCTTATTTTACTTCCTTTTTTATATATATATACATCTTTTCTTCTTTCTTTTCTCTTTTCTTCTTTTTCTTTTTAAGCATTTTTCTTTTTTTAATATTTATGCTTTTCTTTTTTACATACATATTATTGTTAATTATCTTATAAGTTTATGTAATGTATTTAGATATATTTATGGTTTATACTTTTTTAATTTCTTTTTAAGATTTTTAGAAATTTTAATTAAGCCTATATTCAGCTCTGGGAAGGTTGCGGGGGATGGAGTGGGAGGGTTGGGGTGGTTGGGTAGGGTTGTTTTTTGTTTTTTATTTTTTCTTTTCCCTATTTGTAAAAATTTTAAAAATTTTCAATAAAAAAAAAAGAATTAGAGGCTTGAGAGAGTCACTGCAAGGAGATCTGAGAGAGATGGTTGCAAATGACTTTGCTGTGATTCTGGACAGAGAAAAAGAGGAAATATTTAGTGAAATTGAAAAAAACATTTAGAGTTAACTCTGTGGTGGCAAAGCAAAGAAATCTGCCAAGAGATGTGGTAATTTACTTTGGGAAAAGATCCCTGCGCAATGAAATTATACAAGCTTTTTACAATAAGAGGTTTCAGATTGCTTCACAAGACTTTATAATTTTAAAGGAGATCCCATCTAAAATTTTAAGAAGAAAGGAGTTTGCTTTTTTAGCAGATGAATTTAAAAAGAGGCGAATGTTGTTTAGATGGGATGTCCCGACTGGAATGGTGGTGAATTATCTGGGGACACGTTATAGACTTAATACTGTTTTCAAAGCAAAAGAGTTTACACTTCGGTCCTGGGGGTATGTTCATCGCCACCTATCATGTCTAAAGTTTTGGAAGAGAAGAAGGCAGAATTGCAGTCTGAAGGGCCTATATTGATGAAAATTGGGAAATTTCAGACTGAGGGGCCTCAACAAGTTGAGATGAAGGAGCAGAGGATAACTCGTGTAACACATAAACGCAAAGAAAAGGAGCAACAGAAGAAGGAGGTTAAGGAAGCCTCACAAGTATTTGTTTCTGAGTCTGCGGGAGAAGCAAGATCTATAAACTTTTTGGAGCAACCTTTAAGGGCAGATTTCCAAGCACTTCTCTCGAGGTTTTTGGATAAGAGAGATTGATAAAGAATGTATAGATTGTTTTCAGGTTATTGATAGATTACAGTTCACTGTGGATGGAATTGGTTATTGGTAAAGAGGAGAGAAGATTATGGAGATCGAATGAAAATTCTAGATAAGAAGTTTAAGTTTAGTAATTTAAGGAGTATTCAAAAGAGTATTTTGTTTTAATGGTATAACTAACGTTTATATGTTTATTTTTGTGTTTGATGATAAAGAAAGAGGGATAGATTAGATTTTATATAATATAAGTATGATATTATGGAGATTGAATGAAAATTTTAGATAGGTAGTGCATGTTTAGATATCTAAGGAGCATTTAAAGGAATATTTTGTTTTAAATATGTATAAGGGAATTTCAATGTTATAAGTAATGTTTATATGTGTGTTTTTGAGGGTGTTTATAAAGAATGATGGATAAACTTTAAATAATATAAGTATGACATTAGAAAATGTTTAGTTTTTTTTTTCTTCTGACTAATTTGCACTTAAAGTTCATAAAATTTTAAGGGTGGCTTAATTTTCTTATTAAATTTTTTTTGGGGTTCTTATTTTTCTTTTTCTTCTTTTAATTTTTTATTATTATTATCTTTTCTTTTTTTTAGTTTTATATTGGTGTTAGAGTATTCTATAATTTGTCTAATGATTGTAATCATAATTTTTTTTGCTTTTTATATATTGGTCTTAAAGTTTCTGAATAATTTATAAAGAGGAGAGAAGATTATGGAGATTGAATGAAAATTCTAAATAAGAAGTTTAAGTTTAATAATTTAAGGAGTATTTAAAAGAATATTCTGTTTTAATGGTATAATTAATGTTTATATGTGTATTTTTGAGTTTGATGACAAAGAAAGAGGGATAGATTTTATATAATATAAGTATGATATTATGGAGATTGAATGAAAATTTTAGATAGGTAGTGTATGTTTAGATATAATTTTTTTTTTGTTTTTTATATATTGGTCTTAAAATATTTTATAATTTGTTTAATTATTGTAATTAATTGCTTATGGTTTACATGTGTTTAAACTTTTTTCTTTTAAGTTTTAATTAAGCCTGTATTCAGCTCTGGGAAGGTTGGGGGAGGGTTGGGGTGGGTTGGGAGGGTTTGGGGAGGGGATTTTTTTTTTCTTCTGTAAAATTTCAAAAAACTTTCAAAAAAAAAATAAGCTATATGATTTTTACTAAAAATGTGCACATCACCATTGTCATTTTAAATTCTCCAAAATGATTATTTTTATGCTTGATAATATGAAGACTTTCTGTATAATAAATTTTGATATATTGTTTTAAAAACAATTAACCTTTTTCAAATAGCTATTATTTTATCTGAGAGCCAAAACCAAATAATTGTTTAAGCGGTTACTTTTCCTGCGATCTTGCCAACATGTACTAATTTGATTTATGATTTAAGTACTTGAAGGCTACATTGACCTGCCAAGACAAATTTTAAAAACTAACTTTTCACAATGTTAAAAGTTTGGATTTATCACTCAAGGGCCCCTCCCCCACCAAAATAGAAGAGCAATATTTCTTTGGTAAACTTACAGGACAGTCCCTGAAGTCATCTATAGTATTTGCAGCCTGAAGGAATTGAGCAAACATTTCTGGCTTGAGTCTTTCATGCCTTTCCACCATTCTATCAATTTCATTGCTGTAAATGAAGCAATTTGATTTAGTCCACTTTATTATTGCAATTAACAGAATGTTCCTATATTTGTTACATTTATATTCTGGTTTTTACTAAGGAGTACAAGATAGCACAAAAGCACTAATTTGTCCTATTCTTCCACACAATAACCCTGTGTGGTAACCCTGAGATGAGATCATAACTGGCATTTGTCTAGTGAGTTTCCATGTTTGAAGGTGGGCAATTTACTGTTTACATTAAAGCTGGTGAGCAAGATTAGAGAAAAAACCAGTTGTTTCTTTTACAGATTTAGATCTATTTAGGGCTATGCAAATCTTACTTGATATTACAAATACAGAAAGGTACATGAAAAGAAAATGTATTATGTAAATATGAATGTAAGTATTTTCAAGGATGGAAAAAACCAGATGCTTGGACCTTAAAACCACACAGGGCAACTTAACAGGCTATGAACTGAGCTCTGGTCAAACTTCAACAGTTTACTATTGTTCTTATGACTGGAATTTCTTAAAAAACGCTTTGGAAAAAAATGATTTGAACATTTCTGATCATATGAGGCGAATATACTTCAATAAACTTCTCCCTTGTAATTAAAAATATTGGGCTACAATGACAAAGTAAAACATTTTGCTATAATTTCAACATTCCCTAACATTTCATTTTTAGAAAGCATTATTTATGGGCTTAAAATTTGGCAAATGTAGTGATGTCTAAAAATTATGTTTGCTATTCCATTCCATCACAATAACTTGTTAAATGGATACATCTAGCTTACCTATAATGTCCATTCTACTTGGAAGCAGGATTACAGCTTGGACTGATGGGAAATCGTTCCATGTAGGAGAATAGGATAATTTCCTCTGCTGTGCCTTGTGAAATACTTTAGTTAAATTCTGATTTCCATCATCTGGGAGGAAGCAACTTCCTATTAGTTCAAGCTGTTATTTTAGTTCCTAAAATACTAAAATAATGGCTGATCTAGTAACCTTAAGAAAGATTTGATCAGACAGAAGTTCCCAACTATCACAACTTCTGAACCTTAAAATCTTTGTATCTGTTGTTTTTATCTGATTGTTGTGCACCGCCCACAGTTCTTTTTCTAAAATGGGTGGCTAAAAAGTTTGATTAATAAATAATAAATAAAAACCTAAGCAGACTCAGACTTACAGTGAGGGAAAAAAGTATTTGATCCCCTGCTCATTTTGTATGTTTGCCCACTGACAAAGAAATGATCAGTCTATAATTTTAATGATAGCTTTATTTTAATAGTGAGAGACAGAACAACAAAAAAATCCAGAAAAACACATTTCAAAAAAGTTATAAATTGATTTGCATTTTAATGAGTGAAATAAGTATTTGACTCATTCGCAAAACATGACTTAGTACTTGGTGGCAAAACCCTTGTTGGCAATCACAGAGGTCAGACGTTTCTTGTACTTGGCCACATCTCAGGAGGGATTTTGTCCCACTCCTCTTTGCAGATCCTCTCCAAGTCATTAAGGTTTTGAGGCTGACATTTGGCAGCTCAAACCTTCAGCTCCCTGCACAGATTTTCTATGGGATTAAGGTCTGGAGATTGGCTAGGCCACTCCAGGACCTTAATGTGCTTCTTCTTGAGCCACTCCTTTGTCGCCTTGGCCATGTGTTTTGGGTTATTGACATGTTGGAATACCCATCCACGACCCATTTTCAATGCCCTGGCTGAAGGAAGGAGGTTCTCACCCAAGATTTGATGATACATGGCCCCATTCACCGTCCCTTTGATGTGGTGAGGTTGTCCTGTCCCCTTAGCAGAAAAAATATCCCCAAAGCATAATGTTTCATCTCCATATTTGATGGGGAATGGTGTTCTTGGGGTCACAGACAGCATTTCTCCTCCTCCTAACACGACAAGTTGAGTTGATGTCAAAGAGCTTGATTTTGGTCTCATCTGATCACAACATTTTCACCTAGTTCTCCTCTGAATCATTCAGATGTTTATTGGCAAACTTCAGATGGGCCTGTACATATGCTTTCTTGAGCAAGGGGACCTTGCGACCGCTGCAGGATTTCAGTTCTTCACAGCATAGTGTATTACCAATTGTTCTCTTGGAGACTATGGTCTCAGCTGTCTTGAAATCATTGACAAGATCCTCCTGTGTAGTTCTGGTCTTATTTTTCACCGTTCTCATGATCATTGCAACTCCATGAGGAGAGATCTTGCATGGGGCCCCAGACTGAAGGAGATTGACAGTTATTTTGTGTTTCTTCTATTTGCAAATAATCGCACCAACTGTTGTCGTCTTCTAACCAAGCTGCTTGGCGATAATCTAGTAGCCCATTCCAGCCTTGTGTAGGTCTATAATCTTGTCCCTGACATCATTGGACAGCTCTTTGGTCTTGGCCATGGTGGAATCTGATTATTTCTGGGGATAGGTGTCTTTTATACAGGTAACAAGCTGAGATTAGGAATACTCTCTTTAAGAAAGTGTTCCTAATTTCAGCTTGTTACCCATATAAAAGACACCTGGGAGCCAGAAATCTTACTGATTGATAGGGGATCAAATACTTATTTCACTCATTAAAATGCAAATCAATTTATAACTTTTTTGAAATGTGTTTTTCTGGATTTTTTTGTTCTATTAAAATAAACCTACCATTAAAATTATGGACTGATCATTTCTCTGTCAATGGGCAAACATACAAAATCAACAGGGATCAAATACTTTTTTCCCCTCACTATAATTACTACTTCAATGAAGGACTACCAGAAAATCCTAATGCTGTAATACCAGACACTTTGAAAAACATCCAAGAAAGCAATTACAAACCATTTCTGCACAGTTGTGAAAAAAATTATGTAGACTTGTCCATCAAGTTCCCCAGAAGTTGATTTTGTAATATATGTTATTGTGTTCAATTCATCGGTGTTTTTATCAATAGAATATTACCTAACGCTATTTACAATTGATATTTCATTCTCATTTGACAACAAATACAATGGAATTTTTAGAACATAAATATCTCTCTCTCCTAGGAACTGACTACACTTTCAGATGTGAATATTCTTCAGTTTTAACTTGATAAGGAGGTAATTGGGTCATTAAAGCTAGTATCTTTGCTCTAAGCCATGTCTCACTATTTACTACTCAAATTTAAAATTGTTAACTTATGAGAATGGAGGAAAAAAGACAAAGCATAACAAAAATACATTTCCTTACCATAATGCTGTTGTTGAAATGTAACGTACAAATTCTGTAAAAGGCAAAGGGTCTGAGGATGCCCCACAAGTAGAACATACACGCTATAAATAAAAGAAAGTTTTTTTTTAATTTTTAGAAGTAATGTTAAAGAAGTAAAATAAATGTGAATAAATATCTTACCTGTTCATATAATGTCATAGCAAACTTTTGATGTGTTATGCAGGATTTAGAAGTGCACATATCTGTTCCATTGCTTGGTACTATGTGATAGTGAATTCTCTCAAGGATATTTTCCTAAACAAGTAACGGTTTTATTTTAATCATGATAATATGTCATCAAGTTGGTATTGACTATAAGAGGCCTCATATGCAAACATTATCTGTCGCCAACCTGCTCTTCACGCAATAAATTTCACCAACTGAATCTTCAAAATGGCTTGTACATATGTTTCAATATGGTTATTTTTATCTCACAAGAACAATTTCTGTTTCATTCTGAAATAAACCAGGCTCCTTTGTTCTATGTTTCAATGCTCAGAATAAAGGGACAATAGTGACTGGACAAAAAAAATCCCCATTGTATTCAGAATTATAATCTTTGTATCAAATGAAATGATTACCAAATTCTATATAACTGGGTATATACAATAGCTCAAACAAATATTTTTGTATTACAAATTACCTTTATTCTCAGTCTTTTAAATAAAAAAAATATCATTGTTGTTATAGTCCTTTTCAGAATCCCAAAGCATACTGCCCTAAACTGATTTTTCACTGAAATATTGAATATGGCTCTTTGGCAAGAAGAAGCCAAGAATCAAAACAATACCTAAAATAAATGTTAAATATTGTAATATCATACTTACAAAACATTCTGCTGCATCATCCATAAAACCAAGTCGAAATCGCTGTTCATCTTTAAAACTTTCAGCCAAGGCATGCCTCATGTTATTTGATGGGAGAGCCTTTTCTCGACTGTGTTGGAATTGGGAAAATATTGTCTGGAAATCAATAGCAATATTTTATCTATTAAACGATTGGGAACAGTATAGTGTATTTGAATACATCAAAACAAAGTCCAGCATTTGGTAGCATTGAGAACTTGTGATTCTCCAGATGCCACTGAACTAGAATGAAGATTTTTCACTATTAGTGGCTAAGACTTCTGGAAGTTGACCTTCAGCAACTAAAAGGCAAATTGTTCCCTATATGGTATAGAACACTGTTCTGTAACAATGGCCATTTTGAACACAATGCAGGTATCCAATACACAATACCATTTATTCATGATACACCATAATTCACTTCTGCTTTGTTCCTCCTACAAGTTGATTGGCTAAAAAGAAGTGAAAATCTAAATCCTTGGCGGTTTACAATATGCTTGAATTGGAATCCTGCTGTTTTCTCTGCTATCAAATCTCATTAATAAGCCAGGAATCTGGAATCTTGGCATAATCTGTATGAAATACACAATCATGAGCCATGATGGCTTAGTGGTTAGAATGCAGTATTGCAGGATAACTCTATCCATTGCCTTCCATCCTTCCGAGGTCAGTAAAACGAGGACCCAGATTGTTGGAGGCAAAATGCTGATTTGTAAGCTGCTAAGAAAATGCTGTAAAGCACTATGAAGCAAGTGCTATGTGCTATTGTTATAATTGTGCTTGTTCCATTCAAATAAGAGAGAATTATATATGAAGTGGACTATCATGTTGTTATCATCATTACAAATATATATTAAAAATTTTTCCACCAAGATAATTTTCTTGAGCTCATTGAAAATCAGAAAGGTTGAGCCAGAATGGCAACACAGTTTGCTTCTGTTAAAATTATGAGGAAATCATAAAAGGCTAAAAGATCAACACTCAGTATACTATAACAATTCTCACAATGGCTAACCATGGCATGAAAGCTGTATCTTTACCATCTCTTTAGCAACCGGTGTACTCATTCTGAGCATGGGTTCTACATGAGAATGGCAACAAAATAAGGCAATATAATATTCCTAGTAGTTAAATGAAAAACAGGTATCCAACAATTACACTTGTTTTTCTTATCTAATTCTTTTCCTTTACTAAGCTACATTTGTTTTAGACAAAGAGCACACAATTTGTATCCCTTAAGTCAATCCATACAGTTCTCAACCCAATTTCAAAACACCATACAAAGAATCAACACAGACATCTGCCATTGATTATCTTTTAGTTGGGGGAAATAAAGAGTATCATAAAAAATATAGATGTTCTAATCAGTTTCACAATGCTACCATTATTACATGGTAATCAACAAATTATAACAGAAAGAACCTTTCAAAGAAAAAAATGCCCACTACTGCTTTATGTACAGAATATTGATCAAAAACAATTAAAACAATTAACAAATTCTACTTTTAAGAAGTTTTTTCCTACAATTTAACTTATTAGATATGTGTCAATGAACCAGAGATTTTCATGAATATTTGCCAAAATTAATTTTCATTCATACAAGGTAAATAAGAAAATTATAAGGTTACCTTCAAGGCACAAAATATGCAGGCATCACCTTGACAAACGTGTCCTGTAAGACCTCTTAAACTTCTACGGAATATATCAAGTTGCCATAAAACCTACAAAGAAGAAAAAATTAATATTCATTTTTGCCAAAGATTTACTTTTATTCAAAGGTCAATGTCTACAATTAATTGCTATTTTTTGCTACAGATACACCAAGATAACATGAAATACTACATTTACATTGCTTCTGTGGGGATGCTCTTAACTTTAGTGGAACCTGCAATAATTTTGAATAGATATTAAATGATAATCAATTGTTTCCTATCCAACTTGTTTTCTTTCATTCAGTCCATTATTGTTTAAACCAATGTATAATTTTATGCAATATTTTACCTAGTAATTTTCTTGGATTGTTATGGTTATTCATACAGGATATAGTTAGATGTGTATATATATATATATATATATATATATATATATATATATATATATATATATATGTCTTTGGTTGTTCGGGTTTTCTCCCGCGTAAAATTGGAAGTGTCTTGGCAACGTTTCGACGAAGTCACATTCGTCATCTTCAGGCTGGTGTTTTTAGCTTCTTGCTTTGAGCAGCAATGTGTGGTTTTAGCTGTTTCTTCCTTTTAACTGCCAGTGAGGGTATGAACTGATTGGATGGGAGCTTGGCTGTGTTCTGATTGGGTGGAGGTGTGTTCTGAATGGTAAGGGGCTTGGCTGTGCTCTGATTGGCTGGGGGAGTGTTCTGTTTGGTTGTGCTCAGGTTAGTCTGAGTTGCAGAGGGGTTTAAGATTTTGGGGTTAGGGAGTCGTTTGTCAATAAGGGCAGGTTTCCAAATGGCTGGTAGGCGGGAGGTATCATCTCGCTTGTTCATGCTGTGTGGGCGTTTTTCTATCTCGATGGCTTCTCTGATTATTCTGTTATTAAAATGTTCACTTTTGGCAATGGTTCTGGTATTTTTAAAGTCAATTTCATGTCCTGTGGCTTTAAGGTGTTGGACCAGGGAAGATGTTGGTTCCTCTTTTTTGACTGAGTTCTTATGTTCTTCAATGCGTGCACTTATTCTTCTGTTGGTTTGTCCGATGTATGTGGTGGGACAAGTGGTGCATGGGATTTCGTATACTCCTTGATTTTCTAATTCAATTTTATCTTTGGGGTTTCTAAGGATGGTGGATATTTTTCTGTTTGTGCAGAATGCTGTTTTGATGTTGTGTTTATGGAGGATCTTACTGATTCTGTCTGTGGTGCCTTTTATGTATGGGAGGAGGGCTTTGCCGTTTTCTTGTTCTTTGTCTTGGATTTTAGTGGGGGTTTCTTTTTGGATTAGGTTTGTAATCTTATTTCTATGGAATCCATTGGATGTTAGTACATTGGTGAGAGTGTGTAGTTCGGGTTTTAGGTGTTGTTCGTCAGCTAAGCGTTTTGTTCTGGAGATGAGTGTCTTGGCTACAGAGTTGATCTGTGCTGGGTGGTGGTGTGAGAGAGCGTGCAGATAGCGGTTTGTGTGTGTTTTCTTCTGGTAGATGGTGTGTCCTAGGGAGCCATTGGATTTCTTGTAGACTAAGACATCCAGGAAGGGAAGTTGGTTGTTAGCTTCTGTTTCCATGGTGAACTGTATTTTGGGGTGTAGGCTGTTGAGGTGTGTGAGGAAGTTGTCCAGTTTTTCTTTCCCATGTGGCCAGATTATGAAGGTGTCGTCTACATATCTGAGCCAGAGTTTGGGTTTGTGATCCGATTTTTCTAGAGCTTGGGTTTCAAAGTGTTCCATGTAGAGGTTGGCAATGACAGGTGAGAGGGGTGATCCCATGGGTGCTCCTTCTGTTTGTTTGTATTTTTGTCCATTATAGATGAAGTATGTGTTGGATAGGCAGTGGTTGGTCAGATCTAAGATGTGTTTGGGGGGTTATATTTGTTTTGAATAGCTGTCAAGGCTTCTTTGATAGGCACTTGGGTGAAGAGGGATATGACATCGAAGCTCACTAGTAGGTCGCTGGGCTGTAAGCTTTGTTTCTTTATGATCTCTATAAACTGGAATGAGTTTTTTACGTGTGAGGTGATGGATTCTGCATAGGGCTGTAGTTGTTTGGCGAGAAATTTGGCTAGGTTTTGTAGAGGTGAGCCTATGGAGCTGACTATAGGTCTGAGTGGGGTTCCTTCTTTGTGTATCTTGGGGAGACAATAGAGTTTAGGGCATCTGGATGATTTCTCTCTGGGAATGATTCTTTGCTGGATCTCTTCGCTAATGGGGGAGGCTTTTATCTTGGTTCTGGTGGTTTTTTCCAGGTAGGTGGTGGGATCTGTATTTAGGGGTTTGTATGTGAGTCTTGGAGTAGGTTGGTTAATTTGGTTTGGTAGTCAGATGTGTTCATAACCACCGTGGCGTTGCCCTTGTCTGCTGGTAGGATTATTATGCTGGTGTCTTCTTTCAGGTTACGTAGTGCTGTCTGTTCCTCTTGGGGTAAGTTGCTTTTGGGTGGCTTGCTGGTGCAGAGGATGTTGGTGATTTTGAGTCTGATTTTGTTAGCGTCATCGGGGTTGATTTTGGTCAGGCTGGTTTCAACTTCACATATAATGGTTTCAGTGGGGATGTGTTTTGGAGCGACTGCAAAGTTGAATCCTTTGGAAAGGACATTGGTTTCGGCTTTGGTGAGGATCCTATCTGAGATGTTATGCACTGTTTGTTTCATGTGTGGCTGTGAGGGAGGAGGGGTTTGTTTCTGGCGTTCTTGTAGTCTTCGGAGTTTGTTGGTGTTTGTATCTGTCTTGAGGGTGGTCTGTGTTTCGGCTCTCCAGACGGCGAGTTTGTTTGGATTTGTCCCAAAAGTGCGGGGTGGTATCTTGTTGCTGAGTTTGAGGTGAGTGTGAGGAGAATCTTTGTTAATTCGGTCTAGGAGGAATCTTTTTGTGTGAAGTTCATTTCTGATTAGGGCCAATTCTGTTCTTGTCAGGATCCGTTTGGTGGCTGCAGAGTTTGAGTGGAATTTCAGTTGGAAACATGTGGGGATTAGATTTTGATCTCGGCAGTTACGTAGGAATGCGAGGTCACATAAAATGGAAGCTCTTTGGACTTCAATTTTTTCATAGGTCCTGGTCAGATGGTGGATTTCCTCCCCGTAGAGGTTCGATATTTGTTTTCTGAGGTTTTTTCCGCGGGTATTTGTATATAGGTCTTTGGGTGTTCGGGTTTTCTCCCGCGTAAAATTGGAAGTGTCTTGGCAACGTTTCGACGAAGTCACATTCGTCATCTTCAGGCTGGTGATTTTAGCTTCTTGCTTTGAGCAGCAATGTGTGGTTTTAGCTGTTTCTTCCTTTTAACTGCCAGTGAGGGTATGAACTGATTGGATGGGAGCTTGTCTGTGTTCTGATTGGGTGGAGGTGTGTTCTGAATGGTAAGGGGCTTGGCTGTGCTCTGATTGGCTGGGGGAGTGTTCTGTTTGGTTTGTTCTTCAGGTTAGTCTGAGTTGTCAGAGGTTTTAAGATTTTGTGTTAGGGAGTCATTTGTCAATAAGGGCGGGTTTCCAAATGGCTGGTAGGCGGGAGGTATCATCTCGCTTGTTCATGCTGTGTGGTCGTTTTTCTATCTCGATGGCTTCTCTGATTATTCTGTTATTAAAATGTTCACTTTTGGCAATGGTTCTGGTAGTTTTAAAGTCAATTTCATGTCCTGTGGCTTTAAGGTGTTGGACCAGGGAAGATGTTGGTTCCTCTTTTTTGACTGAGTTCTTATGTTCTTCAATGCATGCACTTATTCTTCTGTTGGTTTGTCCGATGTATGTGTGGGACACAGTGGTTGCATGATTTCGTATACTCCTTGATTTTTTCATAATTCAAATTTTGATCTTTGTTGTTTCTAAGGATTGTGAGATATTGTTTACTGTTTGTGCAGAATGCTGTTTTGATGTTGTGTTTATGAAGGATCTTACTGATTCTGTCTGTGGTGCCTTTTATGTATGGGAGGAGGGCTTTGCCGTTTTCTTGTTTTCTGTCTTGGATTTTGGTGGGGGTTTCTTTTTGGATTAGGTTTGTAATCTTATTTCTATGGAATCCATTGGATGTTAGTACATTGGTGAGAGTGTGTAGTTCGGGTTTTAGGTGTTGTTCGTCAGCTAAGCGTTTTGTTCTGGATATGAGTGTCTTGGCTACAGAGTTGATCTGTGCTGGGTGGTGGTGTGAGAGAGCGTGCAGATAGCGGTTTGTGTGTGTGTTCTTCTGGTAGATGGTGGGTCCTAGGGAGCCATTGGATTTCTTGTAGACTAAGACATCCAGGAAGGGAAGTTGGTTGTTAGCTTCTGTTTCCATGGTGAACTGTATTTTGGGGTGTAGGCTGTTGAGGTGTGTGAGGAAGTTGTCCATTTTTTCTTTCCCATGTGGCCAGATTATGAAGGTGTCGTCTACATATCTGAGCCAGAGTTTGGGTTTGTGATCCGATTTTTCTAGAGCTTGGGTTTCAAAGTGTTCCATGTAGAGGTTGGCAATGACAGGTGAGAGGGGTGATCCCATTGGTGCTCCTTCTGTTTGTTTGTATTTTTGTCCATTATAGATGAAGTATGTGTTGGATAGGCAGTGGTTGGTCAGATCTAAGATGTGTTTGGGGGGGTTATATTTGTTTGGAAGAGCTGTCAAGGCTTCTTTGATAGAAGCTCACTAGTAGGTCGCTGGGCTGTAAGCTTTGTTTCTTTATGATCTCTATAAACTGGAATGAGTTTTTTTACGGGTGAGGTGATGGATTCTGCATAGGGCTGTAGTTGTTTGGCGAGAAATTTGGCTAGGTTTTGTAGAGGTGAGCCTATGGAGCTGACTATAGGTCTGAGTGGGGTTCATTCTTTGTGTATCTTGGGGAGACCATAGAGTTTAGGGCATCTGGATGATTTCTCTCTGGGAATGATTCTTTGCTGGATCTCTTCGCTAATGGGGGAGGCTTTTATCTTGGTTCTGGTGGTTTTTTCCAGGTAGGTGGGGGGATCTGTATTTAGGGGTTTGTATGTGGAGTCTTGGAGTAGGTTGGTTAATTTGGTTTGGTAGTCAGATGTGTTCATAACCACCGTGGTGTTGCCCTTGTCTGCTGGTAGGATTATTATGCTGGTGTCTTCTTTCAGGTTACATAGTGCTGTCTGTTCCTCTTGGGTAAGTTGCTTTTGGGTGGCTTGCTGGTGCAGAGGATGTTGGTGATTTCGAGTCTGATTCTGTTAGCGTCGTCGGGGTTGATTTTGGTCAGGCTGGTTTCAACTCCACATATAATGGTTTCAGTGGGGATGTGATTGGGAGCGACTGCAAAGTTGAATCCTTTGGAAAGGACATTGGTTTCGGCTTTGGTGAGGATCCTATTTGAGATGTTATGCACTGTTTGTTTCATGTGTGGCT